TCTTGGTTCTGCTCATTTCATTCTGCACCAGTTCATGCAAGCCTTTCCAAGTTTTTTTGAAGTCTGGCTGCTCATCATTTCTTATTGCACAATAGTATTCCATTACATTCATAGACCACAACTTGTTCAGCCATTCCCCAATTGATGGACATCCCCTCAATTTCTAATTCATTGCCACCACAAAAAGAGCTGCTATAAATACTTTTACATATGTAGGTTTCCCCCCCATTTTTATGATCTCTTTGGGATACAGACCTAGAAGTGGTATTGCTATGTCAAAGGGTATGCACATTTTTATAGCCCTTTGGGCATAGTTCCAAATTGCTCTCTAAAATGGTTGGATCATTTCACAATGCCACCAACAATGTATTAGTGTTCCAATTGTCTCATATCTTCAACATTGTCATGTTGGTCAATCTGATAGGTATGATGTGGTACCTCAGAGTTGTTTTAATTTGCATTTCTCTATTTTTTATGACTATAGATAGCTTTGGTTTCTTCCTCTGAAAACTGCCTGTTCATATCCTTTGACTATATACCAATTGGGGAAAGACCTGTATTCTTATAAATTTGACTCAGTTCTCTATATGTTTTAGAAATGAGGCCTTTATTAGAGACACTGGTTGTAAAAATTCAGTCCCAGTTTCCTGCTTCCCTCCCAGTCTTGGATGCATTGGCTTTATTTGTGCAAAAACTTTTCAATTTAATGTAATCAAAATTGTCCATTTTGCATTTCATAATGTTCTTTATCTCTTGTTTGGTCTTAAATTTTTCCCTTCTCCGTAGATCTGAGAGGTAAACTATTCCTTGCTGTCTTAGGTTGCTTATAATATCAGTCTTTTTATCTAAATTGTGTACTTATTTTGACTTTATCTTGGCATAGGGTATAAGATGTTGGTCTATGTCTAGTTTCTGCCATGCATTTTTCCAGTTTTCCCAGCAGCATCATTTCTTATAGCACAGTAATATTCTTTTACATATGCCACGTCTTGTTCAGTCATTGAGATCTGAATTCTTGACTCTAAAGTCCCTCCTTGGCTGCTAGGCAGATTAACTCCATTGATCTCTCCCAAATACAACATGAGTTTTTTTTTTAATATTTCCCCTAGCACTTTTCTAAGAAAGTGTATGTCAAATCAATTAACTAAAGGGGAGGGGAGTCACTCCTTTATTACATTATATGTGCCTGCACCTCTGAAAGGGCTTATCATGGATTCTTTCACAACCATCTATGTTACATTCCTCTCTTTTGTGGAAACCAAGGTAGGTTGGGCAAAGTGCCATCTTGAGTGGTGGCAGGGAAAGTGTTTGATGTACTAAGTGAAGTCAGGAAGGTCTTTGCTTCCCACACCTGGGCAAATAGCAGGACCAGAGCTGCGGATGACCTTGGTCCTTCCCCTCATTTGGATTCCTTGGAAGCTGGCTGACTCCCAACCTTACTGCTCAGCAGTGGGGAGAGCTGGCTGGTCCTGATAGGGGAAAGGGGATGGAATAAGCATTTACATAGTGCTTACTATGTGCCAGGTACATATTATCTCTTTTGATCCTCATTACAACCCTGTGAAGTAGGTGCTCTTATGAGCCTCATTTTACAGTTGAGGAAAAGGAAGCAAACAGGTGAAATGACTTGCCCAGGGTCACACAACCAGTACTTGTCTGAGGTCAGATTTGAACTCAGGAAGATGAGTGTTCCTGACTAAAGGCCCAACACTCTATTCATTCCACCACCTAGTGACCTCTGATAGGGACTACTTCATTAAAACTTGGTGAGGTGTTGGAGAGGCAGAGGGAAGAGAGAAGGGACATTGGAAAACCATCAATATGTAAGCTTTTTAAAGGCAGAGACAATTTTTACTTTTTCATTTTATCTACAGCACTTAGCATAGTGCCTAGCACATAAGCACTTAATAATAAATTGATTTCCTGGATCTATTCGGATCAGCCTGGTTTCACTTTGAATTTAGAGGTGGCTAGGTAGTGCTGGGCCTGGTATCAGAAAGACCTGAATTCAAATCCTTCCTCAGATACTTATTAGTTGTGTGACCCTGGAAGTCACTAACCTCTGCTTGCCTCAGTTGTCTCAACTGTAAAATGGAATAATTATAGTACTTACCTCTTGAGACTCAAATGAGATGATATTTGCAAAGTGCTTAGCACAGGTCCGTAGTAAATGTTTGCTCCTTCCTTTCTTCTTTTCTTCCTTCTTTCCTTCCTTCTTTTCTTCTTTCTTTCCTTCTTTTCTTCCTTCTTTCCTTCCTTCCTTTCTTCCTTCTATTCTTCCTAATACTCCAAAGTATTTGTGATCTCAACGTGGAGAGGCAGATGGAGGCCTGTTCACGTCTGCTTGTCCGTGACCACCCCTTCGCCTTCCACTGGGGGTGCACCCAATGGGCTGGAGGCCTCCCTTGATTTCTCTTGACCTTGTGTGGATACTAATCAATCACACAGATGGTCCAGGGGTGATCCCTCTTTCTTCCCACTTGAATAGTCCATATTTTTCCTGTTCATTCATTTCTTTGATGACATTCTTTACTCCCGTTCATCTCAGGCTTGTCTGTGATGGGTTGTAACCTATTCGCACTCACCACACCAAGTGCCTTTCCGTTGCCCTCTGGACGATATTTCCAAACCTGTGGAGGCAGTTTTCTCTGCTACTGAACTGCTGTCCTGCTCAGTGAGGGCCCCCTATATCTACTCAGCCTCAGACCATGCTGCACCCTGGCCATTTTCCTGACATAAGAAAAAAAAATCTTCCTGACAATTAGCTCTCTAAAAGTGGATGGAGCTGCCTTGGAAGGAGTGCTGTTAAATGTTTAACTACCAGCTCTCTGAAAAAAATTATATACAATATACTTTCATGTTTAATTTTCATTATTAAATTTTTCTCAATTGTTTTCTTAAGTCTAGACAATTGACAAAACAATAAACCAAGCTCTGATTTGTAGCCTTTTGTCAATTTCTTAAGTATAAATGCTCACACTGAAAAATTAACAATTGGCTCTCCAAGCTGGCTCCAGGATATCTCTGGTTCTTCTTCAAGTGAGGTCGTTAAGAAAGGCCGATCATCACTTGGTAGGTACGTTGCAGAGGGAATTCCTTTTCAGTTGCAGGTCAGTCAGTCCATAAGCATATATCAAGCACTAATTATGGGGTGTGTGGGGTATTCAAGGAAGACCAGCACCTCTGGCATGAAGAATTGCTGAGTCCTTTCCAGAGCTGCTCATCCACCTTTGATGTCTACCTAGCACCCGACTCTCACCTGTGGCTCTAAGTAGCTGTAACATGTGCAGCAGCCACACCCCCGTAAACCATCTCAGCAGACAGGTTGAGGGTAACTGACAGACCTCAAAAACCATCAATGAGTTAGGGGGATGTCTACCTCAAGCATGTGAAGATGTTCCCCAGTAGAATGGGTGGGTGAGAACAATTTGTTTCAATGGCCATGAAGGCGGCTGAAGCAGGCTCTGTGGAGTGTTTAATGCTTGGTCAGGCGCCAAGGTCACCCACTGCGTCCCGGGGCCAAAGCCAGTCATCCTGACTTTTGTCTTGCCATCGGGACTTGGATGATGGAGGAAGAGAGAGTGAGGCTGACAACTTTCTGCAACTCTGCCTCACTGAAATCCAATTCACGCACAAGTTAAGACATCACCCTGTCATGTCACTGGTTCTCTTTGAAAATGAAGGACTACGTGCCAGACATTGCGCTAAGTGTGGGGCATACAATGAAAGGTAAAAGTAGTCCCCGTCTTCTAAGGAACTCACATCCTAATGGGAAAGACAACATGAAAATAACGCAAACGATATAAGCAGTGGAAATGGAAGGCGATCTCAGTTGGAACTGATGGTCTCTGAGGTCCCTTCCAACACTCCTGAGGCCTCGGTGTCCTCTTCAGGCTGATGTAGTAGAAGGAATATGCTTTGAATGTAGAAAATTTGACTTGAAGTCCTGGTTCTGCTACTTATGTGCTAAGTGGTCTTCGAAAAGTCACTTAAAATCTGTCCAAGGCTCAGTAAAATAAGGATGGTAATACTTCCACTACCCAATTCCCAGGGTTGTTGGGAGCAATGTGGTGTGTGAATGATAAGGCATTAAAAAACGTGAACCATAAGCTATAAACACAAAGCCTTGCAAAAGGAGGTGATCTCTAAGCACCTTTTCAATTTTATGAGTCTATCTTTAAGGCAAGAAGAATGATCAGTGTGCTGTGTAAGGGTGGGGCCACCCTTAGGGGATAAGCTGCAGAAGGCATCCCTTATCCTGGATTTGGAGGGGTTTAATGAGGATAGAGACAGCTAAGTGGCACAGTGGATAGGCATCAGGCCTGGAGTCAGGATGGTTTATCTTCCTGAGTTCAAATATGTCCTCATATACTTTCTAATGGTGTGACTTTGAGCAAGTCACTTCACCCTGTTTGCCTCAGTTTCCTAATCTATAAAATGAGCTGGAGAAGAAAATGGCAAACCACTCCAGTCTCTTTGCCAAGACAACTCTAAATAGAGTCACAAAGATTTGGACACAATGGAAAATGACTGAACAACAAGGAGAAGAGAAAATTTGGTTAGTAATGAATGTCATATTTAACTCTTTTTTAGTGTCTTCAAAAATGCTCCCAAAATAACAGGAACATGAGGCAAAGCAAGTTGGAGACAACAACATGGTGCCATGGAAAAAAATGTTAGCTTAGAAGGCAGACAACTTGGGTCTGGATCTGAGCACCACTCTTTGCCACCTTGTGCAATCTTAGACAAATCACTTGACTTCTCTGGGCACCAGTGGTGTGATCTGAAAGATTGGGAGAGTTGAACTTCATGGTACGTAGAGCTGCTTCCAGCTCTGACCTTCTATGACAGTAGAATTGGCATCTGTATCCCTGGTGCTTAGCACTGGGGCTGGCACATAGCAGTCACTTAATAAATGCTTTCTGACGGATGATATGATCCATGCATCGTGGCTATTTGTTAACTGCAGCCCATAATAAAGAGTCAGTAATGATCACAGGTGAGTAAAGAATCTCATACAGCTTTATTAAATAAAGCAAGTAGAAATGCTCATATTTACATCCAAGTTGTCAGTTTCAAGCTCATGTAGTACACAAGGCACAATTCTTCCTTCTTTATGCAATGGAAAATAAATTATATAACCCTACACTGAAGGAAGAGGGTGACATCACACTGCTTTCTCAATGGCTAATTACATCATATATATATTAAAAAAAAGACAACAAAGAGTGTCACAGAGACTGTCATTATATAAATCCACAGTTCTAATGGGGACCTACAAGATCATCTTATACATTTGGTTCGTTCTCTACTGGAAAGGGGCAAGTGGATTTTCTGACCATGGTGTGGCCATGTTTTGAGGAAAAATCTGTTTAGCTCTATTTTCAGGAGGGCCATTGCCCACTCAGCCAGTGGTCACCACTCTATGGACAAAGACAAATGTAGGCTATGTTTCAAGTCACAGTCTCAAGGATTGGTAGCTACATTTCTGAGAGCCTTATGTTGATAACTAAGAAGGAAGTTTCTTCCAAGATTGAGTTAACATTTCAGTCTTATGAATGGTGTTCTGAATTTATTGTTGGGGTTGGTGGGGGCACTATACTGCCTTCCCCATACTCCACCAACGTCCCCAACCCTTTCTCAATCTCCTAACATTCCCTTGGGCTTTCCAGCCATCTCGTTCTCTACAAGGAGTTCTCAGGTCCCCAACCCTTTCTCAATCTCCCACCACTCCCTCAGGCTTTCCAGCCATCTTGTTCTCTATAAGGAGTTTCTCAGAGCTGAAGCAAACTGCCCCTCTCCCCCGCCTCCCTGTCTCCTGTCCCTTGGTGTAGAAGAGCTCAGTGCACTTTGTAGGGAGGCCAGCAAATCCCAGAGATTCACTCCTATGAGATTAGCTAAAGGACCCCCAGAAAAAGGATGGTCATCCTTTTATAGTGGAGAAAGACAGAGGCTCAGTGTCTGCTGAGGTACTTGGATGTCTAAAAAAAAAATAAAAAAACACACAACTACAACTTTGTGCTTTAACAGGACAAAACAGCAACTTAAAAAAAAATGAAAAAATCCCCTAACACATCCCATCCTTCTGATGAACAGTGTTTCCTGAATAATGAAAGCACCATCCTTGCACTAAGAAGATGCCAGCTAAGCTCATCTCTAGCATGAGATGTCTGCTATACAGGGTAAGAGGCCATGGCTGTAGACAAAAGATGCCATGTTAATACTTATTTTTTTTTCCTTTTTTAAACATAGAAGACAGACTCTATTCACATTTGCAAAGGAAAATAAATGCCCATTTCTAAATGATAATTCTGAGTCACATTGTAAGGCTAAAATATTGAGAGCACCCAGCAGGGCAGTGCATTCCTGAGTCTTCCTGACACTATGATTTAGACTCAAAAAGAAAAATTGAGGCCTTCAGAACACAGGATATTCACATTTTTTCCATTTCACTACTTCCCTTCTTAACAGCCATGCTAAGGGGGAATTAGTTTTCACAGGGAGAAAATGAAATGCGAAAAAAAAAAAAAGCCCCTTCCTCAAGGCATATGGCCCTACCACATTAGATTGGCTTTTAGCCTTCTCTACTACAGACTTTAAATGAAGCCTCTAACTGACCCAGGCATGTGAAACAGCACAAGTTTAGTGACATAAGGGGGGATAAAGAAAGGAGCATCGTCCAGGAACCTTGAGCAACCTGTTCCTAAAACGAAAGACTGATGCAGAGAGTTTCTAGGACTTTAAGAATCTATGGGAACATGGAAAAGAACTATGCATTTTTTTTAAAGAAGCTAAGAAGCACCGGTTAAAACACAGAACTATCACATCTCGACGCATCAGATCCAACTTGAGATATACTCCAATCTCATTGGGATGTCTCCAGTGTGAATACATTTATCTGGTTATTATTAAAGGCACTAAAAGTCTTTCTGTGTTTTTTTCCGAATGGTCGTTTTTTTTCTGGGGTCAGCTTCTTTCATCAGATTCTAATGGGAGGCATAATCAGGGCTCCAGAGCCTGAAGGGTGGGCTGGTTTTTCGATTGTGGGGCAGAGTGCTGAAAGGCATCGGACTGGGAGCAACGAAGCCTAGGAGAGAAAAAGAAGGAGTGACTTGCTGCAGTAGCCAGCCATATACGGGAACTCAGAGGTTGAAAGGAATCAGTTGCTAAAAATTGTTTTCACCAATAGAGCTTTTCCTGGATCATTTTTTTACCACCTGAAAAATTAGATGATTTCCCTAACATCCCTCCATAACCTCATGAATTTATGGCATAATGAAATATTCAGGCAATATATGTGCATGGAAATTCAGCTGATGTAAATAAAAGAAGAGATATCATTACCTTAGCCTTCATTTAATTCATAAAATTTGACAGGACATAATTTCATATCATGTAGTCTCATACCCAGAACAGATCCTGAGATGGCTCCCCCCCCCCCCGATTTCAGTGTTGCTAATTCCAAACAGGATCAGATTTGCCTACTCATTTAGACTGACTAGACCCAGAGTCAGGAGACCTGGGTCCCTGTCCCAGCTGTATCTCTGACTTGCTGTGTGATTTGGCGCAAGTCACGTTCCCTCTCTAGGGCTCAGCTTCCTTATCTCTATAGCACAGTGCTTCAAGCACTTGGTACAGTAGTTTGCACATAGTGGTTGCTTAATAAATGTTGGTTGAATACATCTAATTAAAGAGGCTGGAACAGCTGTCTCTAAAGTTCTTTCCAGATCTAACAGTTCATAATTCCGCGACTCTCTTCTCTTGACCTCCCTGACTATCTGGATTTTGGCTGTGGTTCAGCATTGCAGTGTTGTGGAGCTAATGAGCCCAATTCATGGCTGGTCAATGAAGTCTGAATTCAGTAACTACCTACTAAGAATCATGTTCTCCAGCCCATAGGAACAATGAAAGAAAGCCTTTCTCCCTGAACTGCAGAACAATGTCATTTGGAATCACCTGAGTATTAGAACTGCGGGGTTCTTAACCTGGTGTCTGCGAACTTGCATTTTTAAAACATTTTGCTAACATTTTCAATCTATTTTTTTTGGTAGTCCGATGTGTTTTATTTTACACTTAAAACATTATTCTGAGAAGGGATCCATTGACATCAAGGGGCCATATCACAAAGGTTAAGAACTACTGGTCTAGCCCCTCACTTTATAGACTGAGAAACTGAGGCCCAGAGAAGGGAAGTGACTTGTTCAAGGTCACATAGAACTAGTGGTAGAGTTGGGATGAGACTCCAGGTTTGTTGGCCTCTAATTGTCTTTGCATTACACTATGCTGGAAAGATGCCAGAGAGCTGAACAAAATTTAATTTTGTTTGAGGCTAGTAAGTAGGCCTTCCCAGAGGAAAAGAATCTAGATGTGGCCATGTTGAGGCTTCAGTATCTCCTGGCATTGTCAAGCATTTTGCCAATTCATTTAAGAAAGATTCTGAGAAAGGCTCTTCTGCAAACATTTCACGTTCCTCAGGAGACTAAGCGAGTACCATGGAGAGGGTGAGGCACACATGTCTTCAGCAGGTCTTCCAGGAAGGCTGACTTAAATATAACCACCAATCATGGAGGCTCCCAGTGTGTGCTCAGAAGCTCTTTGGGCCTTATCATTTCTGAACAGTCATATCCCACACTAGCTCAATCAAGTGAGTTCTCAGATTTCACTGGACTTATCAGCATTTTTCATTTGTCTGTCTTTCACAGTTACTTTTCAAGGAGTTAGCTGATTATCATCAAGTTCGCACTGACCAGAAAGGTTCAACTAGTTTTCACCTTTCATCTTCCAGATGAGGAAACTAAGGCTTATTGAGGTCAGTCAGAAACTCAACAAATATTTATTTATTAAGTATCTTCTATGTTCCAGGCACTGTGCTAAGCACTGGGGATACAAAGTTAGGCAAAAAAAAAATAAACAAGCAAACAAAAAAAAAAAAACAGTCCCTGCTCTCAAGGAATTCATAGTTTAATGGGGCAGAGTATATATAAACAACTACACACAGACAAGTTACAGAATGGATAAATCAGAGGGGGAAGGGAATGCTCAGAGGGAAGGCACTAGGAAAGATGGGACTTTAGCTGAAGGAAGTCAGAAGAGTCAGGAGACAGAGCTAGTGGGGAGAGATTTGGATGCCACCAAGAACAGTAGTTAGTGGCGTCACACTAGACTGCAGGAGTGCAGAACCTGTGGTCTCAAGGCCACATGTGGCCTTCTAGGTCCTTGGGTGCAGCCCTTTGAGTCAAATTTTACAGAACAAATCCCTTAACTAAGGGGATTTGTTCTGTGAAGTTTGGATTCAGTCAAAGGCCTGCACTTGAAGACCTAGAGGTCCACATGTCAAGGTCGCTGGTTCCCCACCCTGCACTAGAGGATATAAAGAGCCCCCTGACATTGCCTGAGTGGATCAGTCCACCAACCTAGAGAGGCTGCTTAATATTGTAGATAGAGTGCAGGATTTAGGAGTTAGGAAGTTTTAATCCCCCCTCAAACACTTACTAGCCGTGTGACTTTGGACAAGTCACTTAATTTTTCATAGCCTCTGTTCGCTCACATGTAAAGTGGTATTTACCTCTTATGTTGAGGCTCAAATGAAATAATGAATGAAAAGCATTTTTAGGGTCACAAGTATCAGTTATTGGAAACGAAATATTTCTGGGTATGTTTTCAATGAATCAATGAGTATCTCAGTGACTATGCTAAGTGAAGTGTATAGTTGATAATTTAAAAAAAAACAACTCCACTACCAAGTATTTCTTGGCCTTTATTTTTCAAATGACTGGTCTTAATTCTCAGCTCGCTTTCTTTTAGTTACTTTCAACCATAGTCAGGATGTCTGGAAACATTTAGCATACAATTATACCTCTTGGTTCTACTATTCCCCTTCATGCAAAAAAAAAAAGACTCTTAAACCAAACCCCAAACTGAGCAAACCAAATTAACCAAAACCCCAAATCAAAAAACCAACCAGCCAACCTACCAATCAAAAAGCATTGACCAAAGCAAACAGTTAAGCTAGTTCTTTAGTCAGTGATGCTTAAGATGACAACTTTTTAATAAAGAAAAGTAAAGATGTACATTTTGAAATCCTCCTTTAGCAGTTCTGATAAGCTGTGTTAAGCTGTTTCTGGTACTCTTTCTATTTAGGGATCTTAACAGTCAAAGCCATTTTCTGCCCTCCGAACATTCCCTCTGATTTCCTGCCTTCATGCCTCTGCTCCTGCTTTTCTTCTGTGCCAGGAGGATGCCCCCTCTCCCTCTTCACCTGTTAAATTCTTGCTCATACTTTAAAGGCCAATTCAAATACCAGCTCTGCTAGAAAGTCTTCCTACTGAAGGTCCTTTCCTAGTATCTTTGTTTTGAGCCTCTCAATTGCATTTTGATGCTAAATATGGTGTGCTACAGCCATCCATGTTAGTACCGTGTAGACTCAGTAGGCTATAAGCTCCATGAGGGCAGGGATCCTGTCTTATCTAAACTGTACATCTCCCCCAGTACCCAGCATGACACTCTGCATACATGAGGTTCTTAACTGGGTGTTGAATGAATGTTGAATGTTAACAAGGTGACCTTTCCACTAGGTGACTCTTGAGGTCTCTTTCAGGTCTAAGTCCAGGAACCTTATTTAGCAAACCATTGGAGAAAATAGATGCTACCTTTCTTTTGGAACTGCAAGCAATGTGTGTGCACATACCTCTGTGTGTGTGTGTGTGTGTGTGTGTGTGTGTTGCTGAAGGTAGAATTTAGCTGCCCAGCAATGGGGAAGGTGCTATGGTTACCTGAGAACAAAGCCTGTCTCCTCTGTGGCCATTTTGTTGAGGCAACGTCCACACTACCATACTTTTTTTTTCCTCCTATTTATCAAACTTACCCAGTAGTTACTTACTGTTAGGACTATGTGAAGGGCTTGTTCTCGGGGTGAAGGCAGGGTGTGTGTTGTGTTCTTTGGGCGAGAAAACTGCATGGTAAACTGAAACACATACAACAGTTTATTTAGATCAGGCGGCAGAAATGACGTACAAGTGGGGAAAAAGATAAATATAATATTTTACCTATGATCATAATAGCTGTCCCTGCCAGCAGTGCAAAAAGCGTGAAGAACATAACTTGATAGGAGTCGAGGAAGTGTTGGAATAGGCTGGTACCTTCTGTGGAATCAATTGGAAAGGCAATCTCTATCATTGCACAGGTTATAAATAGTGTCCCAGCATCTTCATCTACTCAAACGACTTTCCCTGCCCTGGGCTCACACACTCTCTCCTTTGGGTAAGCGTGCCTCATTCGAATCCCTTGATTTGCTCCGATTATGAATGGGAAGCCATGTGCGCTCTGAATATGCCTGTCAGTGATAGCTCAGGATAGATGGAACTGCCACTGAGGCTGTCACCACAGCCTAGAAACGCAAAGCAGTTTTGAAAACCTGAAGTCCTGGATTAGATTCATGAAAAAATTAAGCCAGGTAGCAACCAGCTGGCTAGGAAGGGACAGAAATCTTCAGTAGGGAAGAAACCAACAGAATTCCTTCTATTTTGCACTGGGGAAAGGAGGAGGCATTGTACTTGGCATCCTTCTTCCTTAGACTGACCCAACTGACTTCTACTTAAAAATTATTATTATTATTATTATTTTTTTTTTTTTTGATGAGGGCAATTGAGGTCAAGTGACTTGTCCAGGGTCACACAGCTAGTGAGTGTTACGTGTCTGAGGCCATATTTGAACTTAGGTCCTCCTGATTACAAGGCTGGTGCCCTATCCACTGCACCACCTTGCTGCCCCCAAATTAAAAATTATTACTGATGGGAAGCAGCTAGGTGGCACAGTGGATAGAGCACTGGCCCTGGAGTCAGGAAGACCTGAGTTCAAATCTAGCCTGAAACACATAACACTCACTAGCTGTGTGATCCTGGGCAAGTCACTTGACCCAACTGCCTCACCAAAATTTAAAAAAAATTATTACTGAAAAAGTCTTAAGCCTCACCTTCCCTCCCCTCTACCACCAACCTTGGGCAACATAAGCAGGAGAAACTATCCAGTCCCCAAGGTCACATAGTTACAGGAATGAACTTACGCTGGCCAGGGCCTCTCCTGTCAGTCATATAGACCATGTTGACTGGGAGAGTGATGGATTGGTCTGTCATGGGGCTAGAAATGGTCAGTGTAGTAGATGAGGATCTCTGGCTGAGGACTACTGGATCAGAGATGCTGATGGTGTAGGTGACAAAGCTGGGCAATCCATAGGACTTCTCCTTCACAAAGGCAACCACTGCTGGTGACCCAGATTTCACCTAGGGAAAGAAATGCCTTCCCTGGGTAAAAATGCACATCTTGAAGGGCACAAAATGGTGACCTGATACTCCAGGTTGAGGTTTTATAAAGTCACACTTATTTGGTGAGGAGATTCAGATGCTTGTATTTTTTTCATCCAATGAAAAGCCCAGGAAACTTCTTATCATCATCAGTATAATTAATAATAATAACATGTAGGAAAGGCAACTACAGCATAAAGGATAATCAGCCAGCCTCAGAGTCAGAATGACATGGACTCAAGCTGCAACTGACACATATTGGGCCAAGTGACCCTGCTCAACTTACACAAGCCCTCAGAGCCCCAGGGAGAAGTGTCAAACATGGGGCAGCGGGCTGCATGCACTCGGAACCACTCCTGAGTGCAGCCCAAACCAGACTGACATGGAACTGGGAAATACCTAACACAATAAAGAAAAATACAACACAAGACAGATAATGCGAATAGGCAGTTTTCTAGGACAACACGTGCCAGCAAGGATTCTTACATAGTTTCTATTTGAGTTGAACACCACTGCTCTAAGACTAAAATTGCAGAGAACTTCTTGATCTTTATTTGGGTGGGATCTTTATTCTTACTGAGGAGCTCCCTAGTGATGAAATAAAAGTTCAGAACAACCCTCCCCAACCCCCCAAAATATCCTTAATAATATCAATAATAATAGCTCACATTTATTAGCTCTTTACCATTTATAAAATCTTTTCCTACCAACATTTTTTCCTCTCCAAATTGGTAATATGAATCAATGAAATGTATTTATTAAGTGTTCACTTTATGCCACACACTCTGCCAACATAAAAGGAAGACTGTCTCTGCCCTGAGGGGGGTTGCCTTCTAAGGGGGAGATGGACTGTGCATACATATAGTGTGTGAAGGAAGGGATGGAATTCACCAGTATGGGGAGTGGAGCAATGACAGTGATAAGGAAAGCAGAGAATTGAGACTCAGAGAGTGGAAGGATTTTGTCTAAGTTGTAGCTACAGTACTTTTACACACATTATGTCATTTGATTCTCAAGACATTTCCTGGGAAAAGTAGGCAGGGAAAGGATTATTGTTCCTATTTTGCAGCTGAGAAAACTTAGCCCAGACCACCTACGTGACCCACCATGTCGAGTCAGTGATGGATGGAGCCACTATTAGAACTTGGGTTTCCTGACTCTTCTTCCAAGGATCTTTCTCCAACTCAATGCTGCCTCCTAAGATGCATTTTGATGGGGAGACATTTTTCAATGTGAATAATATGTCAGACATACTGATGGAGACGTACAAGCGTGTGTGTGTGTGTGTGTGTGTGTGTGTGTGTGTGTGTGTGGTAGGGTGGTGAGTTTCTCAGGTAGAGCAACTCCTATAATATGTGTATTGGGGAAAAGGGGCCTGAATCACTGAAATCAGGGATGCTTGAAATATTAAGCATCACATACCGCACAGGGATTAAATGAGATAATGTGTCTAAAGCCTTCTGAATTAATTAGTGGTCCCTGGATAGAAAGATGTTCTTTGATCAAGGCCTCCCTTATCTCATGAAATCAGAGTGAGAAGAGAAATGGTCTGCACACTTATGGAGGTCAGGGGAATAGGCAGGCCTTTCGTCTTCCCTTTCCAGTCTGGTGGCGTGTGTGTGTGTGTGCGCGTGTGAGCATGTGCGTGCACATGTGTACACATATGTATGTACCTACACGTATGTATGTAATTAAGGGAATGGAGTACTGCTAATTATCTAGCAAAGACCAGGATCTTCTTCCCTTCTAACTCTACCTCCAAACAATAAAACACAGAACGAAAAATAAGAGAATAAGAAGACTTAAAGACACAGACTAACTACTAAGGACCATTTAAGGAATCAGTTGCCCCTGATATTAGATGTGATGTGGTTTTTGGGAAAAGAGTACAGGGTTTGCAATCAGAAGACCTAGATTCAAGCCAGAGCTCCATCATTTATTAGGCAGCAAGATGGCACAGTGGTTAGAGCCTTGAGTCAGGAAGACTTAAGTTCAAACCCAGCGGCAGACATTTCCTAGCAGTGTGACCCTTGGCAAGTCACTTAACTTCTGTCTAGCTCTCAGTTTCCTCAACTATGTAAGATGGGGATAATAACAGCACCTGCCTCCCAGGGTTATTGTGATGCTCAATTGTAATAATATTTGTAAAGCACTTAGCACAGTGCCTGGCAATAGTAGGTACTTACTAAATGCTCATTTCCCTCTCTTCTCTGTGTGGCTATGGGCAAGCCACTTTATCTTGATGAACTTCCTTTATGAAATAAAGATAATAGTGCTTATGCTACCTATCTCTCAGGAGCTGCAATGAGGAAAGTTCTTTCCAAATGGTAAAACACTATACACATTCATATGTACATACATACATACATACATACATACATGTGATATACACACATACCTATATGTACTAATGAAATAATGACATTCAAGAATACCATAACATGTTTCTTTTCCTTCTTTTGTGTCTATCCTGAGTCTTTTGGTAGTTTACTGAGTAGATACTCAAGAAAGACTCAATGAATTGGTCTGAAGACTATTACAGTGGTCCTTCTTACCCTATTTTCTTGAATTTGGTCCCAGAGCAGCCTGTACAGGGGATTTGCATACTCCCAAATGACTGAACAAGTTAAGACACATACATGTAATGCCATATTGTTGTACTATAAGTTACAATGAATATGAAGAATTCAGAGAAACAGGAAAATTTGTATGAACTGATGCAGAGGGAGGAAGGCAAAGCCCAAAGAACAAGATCCACCATGACTGTAAATGAAGACACTACTGGTAGAAACAAAACTCAGGCCATATATGATAGGCAATATTGGTCCAGATCAGCAAAATACATACAGTTCTGCTCAGTTAAGAAATGGTAAAGTAGAGGCAGCTAGGTGGCACAGTGGATAGAGCACTGGCCCTGAAGTCAGGAAGACCTGAGTTCAAATCCGACCTCAGACACGTAACACTCACTAGCTGTGTGACCCTGGGCAAGTCACTTAACCCCAATTGCCTAAAAAATAAATAAATAAATAAAAGAAATGGTAAAGTAGAAAAATGAAAAGTTCCAGGTACTGTCATATCAGTTGCAAACACTCTATTAAGCATTTTTGTTTAACTGTTTTTATGGGAAAATATGGGGAGGTGTCTTTTATTGGAAGTTATACATCAAAACAAAATACATAAAAAATTTCATCATAAATACACACAAAAAAATCAAGTGTAGGATTTTGATTAGCATTAATTAATTTTATTAAATTCTCTAGGCTTGCCGAAGAGGACCTAAAATAAGAAAATCTACAACTTAAAAAACAAAAACAAAACAAAAAACAACAAACCAAAACCACTCACCTCAAGATTCTCAAGAATTTCCATGGCTCCAAATATTTTGACCTCTGAGCTCATATAGTGGTTACTTAAGAGGATTTCAGTTTGGTCAGCATAAAGGCCAGGGTTGAAGGGTACTTCGGCGCTGATCTGCTCTCCGGAGAAGTGGCTGTCTTGGAGAGAAGCCGTGACCACGAGAGCTGTCTTCCTCATGCTGAGGTGTTTGAGCTGCTTGTCTGTAAGCCTGTGCATCATGATGGAGCAGGTGTACTGGCCTGGGGCAATGAGAGTTTCAGACCTTGCATGCAGCACACACTAAATGGTTAGACACACCATGTTTGAATCCCTGGTGCCTTTAGTGATGATAAATTTTGTCATCTATGATGACATTTCTGAGTGGTTAGGAGATTCTAGGCAACTCTCTAAGTTGTTGAGAACATGCCAAATGGCATCGGTAGATGGGAGTTTCTTCACATGATAGGTCTCTAGACTGAGAAAACAGATCCACTCCTTCTCCCTATGCTATGATGACATTTCAGTTCTGCCTAGCACCATGACCTGGCACAGACAGAGCTGGTGCTTAATAAATGCTTGTTGATTGACTGATTGATCTATGATCCTCCCTCCCCCTCATCACCATACTCAATTAATCTCTAAGCACCAACATTCCTACCTCCACTTATATCCACTCCTTTATTTCCATTCCATCCTAACAGAGGCTTTCAAAACCTACAGTCTGCACCTCAAGTCCCTTACCTCTCAGTTAGGAGGTGGACAGAAAGTTTCATCATCAGTCCTCTGCTGTGATAAAATGTTACTGGGTCTCTCTCCCTCCCAGACTATGTTACATACATGACATTCCTCTACTCAAAAAAACTTGAGTGGCTCCTCACTGCCTACAGAATAAAGTCCAAATTCTTTAGCCTGGCAGTCAAGGCTGATTGAAAGTTGACAGTAAACTATGTGTTCAGCTTTAGCTCACATTAGTCATCTTCATGTGCTCATGTTCTGGCCAAAAGGAACCACTCACCATTCCATGAATACGTGCTACCTTCATGTCTTTGACCATGTTATTTTTAAAGCTTGTTTTTCCCAATCCCTACTTATTGAAAGTCTACCCATTTTACAAGGCCCAGATCAAATGCCACTTTACCTAGGATATCCTCTCTCTAACCTACCCAGATGGGAAGCAATCTCTCCACCTTGAGAACATATTTTTTGCACTTGTATTTGGATTCACTAATTTTTTGTATAATTGTCTTAGCACATTTCCTGGATTTTAAGTCTCCTTGAGTGCATAGAGTATGCCTTAGACATTTGTATCACCCCTAGCACTCAGCACAAAGTAGCCACTTAATAATTTTTGAATTAATTCACTTGGTGCCATAATGTTTGAGCTGCTGGGTAAATAAGATAAAGTCTTTGGCAACCAGGAGCCTGAAGAAAAATGGCACCAGAGAAACCTCTGAGAAATAAAAGTTTGTGTCAAAATGACTTCTGTCCAGTTGCCAGTGTTGTTAAAGATCTGCAGCTTTTGCCAGCTGAGGCATAGCGATGGAAGAAAGCACCAGCCAGCTGCCAGGTACATTTCCACACCTAGACTTTCTAGGAGCTGGACCCTGACCTTGCTCAATTCTCAGAGCTTGCTCATGACTCAGCAAGAGGCAACTTTTTCTTCACTGTTTAGCTGGGGTTCAGATGACCCTGGACATGTACCAGTTCTTCTCCAAGCTAGCTGGCAGGAGCTATGCAATGTTCAATGCCACTACGTACCCCTCTAAACCAAAGTGTTTCTGAGAACCACAGCAAGAGTTCTCAGACTATTCCTGAGAAATCACCACAATAGCAATGCTTAAGATGACAGAAGATCAGACATTTTAGAAAAAAATAAATTCCCTGTGGCAGCAGCACTGAGCCATAAACCCAAGTGCCAACATTAATTTCCCCAGGTTGAATTATCAGAAACGCAGGCTTGTCTGGGTGGATGGCTCCTGTGAACAAAAGGCCCCATGCCTTGGTATTTCCTCAAGTTATAGCTACTTCCTGGGACAATGTCAATGCCTGGAGTTTGGCAAGTTTACCTAGAGATGCATCAAAACCAGCTTCTGTAGTGAAAATGTCATATGCTGGAAAATCAAATACTTCCTGGTTGAACTGGAGCTGACAGCTGACGAGAGTTTCGGGGTGAAGTTCAACAATGGTCTCCACCTGGGCTGGTGAGCATTCCCCTAGAGACGACAGGGAGGAATGTGATGAGAAGGGACAAGAGCAGATCTGAGCCAGGGAACCACCATGCTTTCCCAGCTGTTTGGACAAACTCTTCATTTCTTTGTCCATATACATTTGTCTGCTTTTCTTTGTCTATATACATGTCTCCCCCATTACAAGCTCTTACTATTTTCTAGATAGGAACAGGATAGGGACTGGATCGGTGGTCTCGCTGATACAGGTGATTATCAGGTGAGGAAATGCTTTCTCCTACTGCAGATCAGCACTTTCTCTACAACTTACAGTAGTAACTGTCTCACTTTTTGGTCTCAGGACCCCTCTTATTTTCAGTTCCAGACTCATTTCTTCCCCTTCCTCTCCCCAACCCATTGAAAAGGCAAGAAACACAATATCCTTTTCAAATATGAAGTCATGAAAAATAAATTTCCACATTAGTCATATTCTGCAAAAGAAAAAGGAAAAAATATGCTTCAATCCGCACTTTGAGTCCATCAGTCCTTTCTGTGGAGGTGGACAGTATTTTTCATCACATGTCCTTTGAGTCATTGCATTGATCAGAGTTGTTATGCCTTTCACAGGTGATTATTTTTACATTATTGCTGCTACTGTGACTCCTTAGACTCTTAAAAATTACAGAGGACTCCAAAGTGGTTTTGTTTATGTGAGTTATAATCAATCAGTATTTATTGTATAAGAAATTAGGACATGTTGGTAGTATTATGAAAAGAGTTTTGACCTCTCAGACTTCCTGGAAGGGTATCCAGACAATACGCTTTGAGAAGCACTGTCTTAGAAAGTTGCCTGGGGCCCTAAGTGGTTAGGTGACTTGCCCAGGATCACACAGCTAGTGTGTGACAAAGATGAGGCTCGAACCCAGGCTTTCCTGGCTCCAAGGACAGTCAGCTCTCTATTCACTACACACTTTTGCCTCGAAGTGTTTTCTAACCAAGTCTTATAACAAGCGTGAGGCTCTTCGGACTTCCACACGGGGAGCAAAAGTATTACTGAGAGCTCTATAATGATAGCAGAGTTTATGAAAGGAAGGGATAAATTGTTGTCAGGTGTGTAGGTCACAGGGAATCACTGATGATCTCTGCTCATTTCAGCATCTGTTCTAGATCTTGTACCTCATGAGTGAGGCAGCTGAACAAGCCCCACTAATGCATTTTTCTTTTTTTTTTTCGTGTCAGCCAGAAAGAGTGGTAATTTATTTCTGTTCATCAATAGGCCAACAGTTCTCCAATAATACACTAAATATCATTTCAACAACAGCAGAATGTCATGCACTTGTACTATGTTGAAGAAAAAAGGGTCACAGTGATGTAATAAAGTCTGGTTCATTAATCAGAACAAGAATGGTGATATTTAATTTTACCAGTTAAGAGGCTTTAAAAACAGCATTTTTTTTTCAGTTGTTGTCAAGGCTGATGATGGGCAAGAGAGAACAGGCTTAGTGGTTGTAGAGCCATTTTGAAAAAAAGGTAATTACAAAAATCAAAACCTGCTAGAAGCTTGCTGGTAGTGTATTTCCAGAGTTATCCAGTGCAAGGAAGAGCTCTCCTTTAGCAGCTGTGAGATTGAAATGCATCTTTTGTTCAAAAGTGACAAATTTCAGTGTATCCATTTGGTGTACAAATATCATCCTGCCAAGTTTCCACAAGAAACATAAAGTCCAATTACTCCAAAAGGGAGAAGAGGAGCTAGGAGAAAGTTATGTGAATTCTGTCTCTATCTTTCTCTTTGCCAGTAAGGCCAGGAGACATCTCAGCTCCGCCTTTTATCAGCTGTGGTCTTGAGTCTCAGTTTCCTCATTTGAAAAACACTGACAAAAATACTCACATAAGGTTCATCAAATCACAAATTCAGGGCTGAAAGAGACTTTAGATCAGCATCCATAAAATCCAACCTCATTTTACAGCTAACAAAACTGAGACATCAAGAGATTAAGTGATCTTCACAGAATTAAATAGCTATTAAATGGTTGAATCAGGATCTGAACCCAGGTCTTCTGACTCCAAATACTGGGCTCTAGATACTGTGCAATGATGCCTCTGAATCTCAACACATCCTTTGAGCTGCAATCAAGTGTGAGTTATTAGTATTCTTATTATTTGTAGTAATACCAAGTCATGAATACTTAGAAAACCACAGTCACCGATCACTTATATAATGCTTTATGGTATAGAAGGCAGTTTGCTTGCAGCATCCTAGGAGGGAGGAGCTGTAAATATCTTAGAATTCAGGCAACTGAGATTCAAAGATTAAGATGTCTGTCCTCTGTTACACAGCCTAGTTTGTAGCAGGACTTGAATCCAGACCTTTGAATCTCAAATCCAGTGGTGTTCTTTCCATGATGCCACCCCTGCCTCTACAACAATCTAGATGGTTTGCTTAGTGGTAATGCTGGACCTTTTCCAAGTCCCTCTCCAGAGTTCATACGGTGGTGGTTCAAATTCCTGGGAGTTTCCTCTACTCAGGACAGCATGATGTAAGCACAGAAGAGAGTGTGCTAGATTTGGAATTAAGAGCCATGGGATTAGGACACCAACACCATCACTTTACTAGCTGTGTGACCATATCCAAGGTGCTTAATTTCTCTAAGACTCGGTCTTCTCCTCTCTAAAATGGGGATAACAAGACTTGCATCACCAAGTTCTCAGGGTTATTGCAAGAAAAGTGTATAAACTTGGAGGCTCCAGGTAAAAATGATCCTTACCTCTCAGGTTGGTGCTTCTTTCTCCAGTTACAACTATCACTTTGGAAGCAGTGATACCCTGAAAGTTGGTTGGAATGCCACTGACATGGGTGGCCACAATCTTCTGGGGGCTGCTAATCCAGATCTGAAGAATAAACCAGAAAACAAAGACTTCTGACACCAATCCAAACTAACTGCTGCAGGAATCCACCTTGCCCTCTGGAGCCATGTTGAATAAGACGAAATTAAAGCAGGAACAACTGTCTGTAAGGTGGGCATTGATTTTTGTCAGGGATCATGGGCCTCCCAGTTTCTCATAAACGTGATGTTTGTTCAGTTTGGTGAATTGGTTTCTCAGCAAAGGGAGGAAAAAGTCATCTTAGTTTATTACCATTAATTTGAAATAAATCAGACAGCTCATGAAGCATGCAAGAGGCTGTACTTAACGTCCCAAGAACAGAGTCCCAAGATCTGCCCTAAAGACAGATCAGAAATATTTCTAGAGAACAGCACCATCCCTTTGGCTTCCATTAAAGGGGGCCTGGGCTGAGTAGAGGTCAGTATGTGGGGCTGAGTTTTCCCAAAAAAGCATCTGAATTATTTTAGGTCTTCCATGCGAACACTGGAAATTCTTTCACACAATCACAGCTTTGTTAATCAGAAGTTGTTTAGCCCCTGAATCTCTTATGCTGCAGAAAGGGAATTAAGTTGCTGCCTCACGGAAGCCAAGCTAAATATGCAAACTATTAGGTTAAACTTTCTTATTCAATACAGCACACGCTCACTATAAAAAATGAGATGCATTTGGATACAGACCAGGCACTTTCCATTGATTCACTCTGGTTTGCAGATAAATAGTAAAGAAAGAGAAAATGATTTTGTTCACCTCTTGGAAGATTCAGAAGGTGACTTAGTAGGGGAAGTTTTTGCATTGAAGAAGGGAGGGGGTTGAATCCTAACAATCCTCAGTATCTTACCCCCAGCCCCTCCCAGCCCTAGAATGCTCCTCAGCATATTTCCAACTGCAGAGATTCTAGGCTGTTTTGCGGCTTGGCAGCAACACCCTATCAATTTGTGATTTCCCAACTCTGCTACCAAAAGCTTTAGATGGTAAGCTCATTTTAAGATGGAAGAACTTTCAACAGAATTTGACTCAGTCTTTCCTTACCCCCTGTCCTTTGCCCTGTCCACATCCATCAGCAACAACTTGAGACAGTTAGAAATGCTCAAGGTGGAAAGCCAGGTCTGGGAGCTCTTGTCCTGGTGCCTTACCTCCTTATATGTTCTGAGAAGTCCAGCAATCTCATAATAAAGAGTCACAGCTCCAGAGTCTCTGGCCACAGCCACACCAGTCTTGGGGTCAACTTGGAGAATACTGTTGGCTGAAGAGCTCCATGTTCCTGAGAGACCTGGGAAGGAGATCTCTCCTTGTTAGATGTTTTAGGCATCTTTCTTCTGTCAACCATACCAGCTGAAACCTCTGGAACATATCTCAAATGTAAAATTCATGTCAACCCCATCATGTTGCAAAGGAGGAAACTGAAGCCCAGGTTAGGTGAGTGATTTGCCCAAGGTCACATGAGTTAGGAGCATTAGGGGTGAGATTTGAACCCAGGTCCCCTCACTCCATAGTCAGTGAGCTTTCCCCTGTATTATGCTGTCTCCCAGTCATCAGAGCTACTTAGCAGTAGAGACAGCCATCAAGTCAGAAATGGGGATTTATATCAGGGATATGTTGGGTAACTCTTACCATCAGGGTTTATCAGGATGGTGCTCAAACAGAGGACATCGCCTACTACCACAGTCCCAATAAGTTCTGGAGAGATGACCTGCTGGACAGGCAGAGGTACATAATCTGAGAGGCCAGTATGCTCCATGTCCCACACAGCAAGCAGAGTCAGGCCAACATTGATGGTGCGGATAACACAGGTGTTATTGGTAGTTCCCTTCCCGATCTGGACAAAGTCATCTCTGGGCAATGGAGAAAGAAAAAACTGTTTTCAAGAGTAGCAGCAACACCTAAAAGAAATTCTGGTGCATCAGACACCATCCAAAAAAAGACAGATCCTAGCCTGATCCCTTATATGGGGGAAGATTACTAGTTAATTGGATTCATTATTTCACTAAAAAAAAAAGGTGTTTATTGGTCTGTTTCTAACTGAGGTATGATGGGCTCCAGTGAAAAGAGTACAGCTGAGGAATCAGAACCGCTGGGTTCTAAGCCTGGCTTCATCATTGTTTTACCTCAACTATAGAATTTTTCTTCTGTAATAAGCCTTGACTTAAGCATCTATGGAATGGATCTGAAAAGATTCTCTAAGAGAACATAGCATCAAAGAGGGCCTAATGGCAAAATTTAATTCAACCATATAATTTTTCTTCCCTGATAAACCTTGACTTAACCATCTGTACCAATGGGCCTGAAAAAAAGGCCAGATTCTCTGCATTAATATGGCATCTAAAGGTGCCTATGTGCCTAAAAGTTTAGCTTAAGGCTGAGACGGTTTAGACCTTTTATACTGACCCTGAGAATTACGTATGTCTCTACCATCTCCTGAGAAGAACTGTAGGATATGCATCTAAGATGTCATTTTTGTTGTTATTGTTGTCACAATAAGAGACTGTATAGAAAACGTCTCCAGCTAAAACCTTAAATTCAGTCCTTGTTTTCCAGCTGGAATTTATCTAATGAGATCCTTCCATGAGAAACTCCCTCTCCCTTCTATCTCATGATCAATTCAACAACAACAAGGCTGACACATCATACTGGCTTTTTTGGGTCTGTCTGCAGCTTGAGTTGGAAACTCTGAATAACGTCTGAAAGCAATCTGTTTCTTCAGATGTTCGCAGCTTGGACCCTCTCCTCTTCATCACTGGGTTCCCCCCCACTTCGGTGTTCACCACATCAATCATGCTAGTCACAGAATCATAGAATTGGAAGAAGCCTCCGAGGGAATTTAGTCCAACGCTGGCCTGCAGCATGAAGGTTCCCACATCACATCCCTGGGAAGCAGGCATCATGCCTTGACAGATAACCAGGAATCATACTGGGCAGAGAGACTGTTCAAGAACTAATGCCAGGGAACCCCAAGGGGCGCCATAGTGCATAGAGCACTGGGCCTGGAGTCAGAAAGACCTGAATTCAAATTTGACCTCAAACACTAGCTGTGTGACTCTGGGCAAGTCACTTAACCCCTGTTTGCCTCAGTTTCCTCATCTGTAAAATGAGGGTAACAATAGAATCTACTTCCCAAGGTTGTTGTGAGGATCAGATGAGATCATTGAAAAGTGCTTAGCACCGTGCCTGGCACATAGTAAGCACTATATAAATGTTAGCTATCATCATTATGTTTGTTGAATATATGAATTGATGATATAATATAAGGGAGTCAGAAGTCCTGATTTCAAGTGCCTGCTCTGTGGTTTAGTAATTATGTAACTTGGGGCAAATCACTTGACCTGCATGTTGACGCACTACTGACCTCAAAGGAGTATTGTGATGATTCACTCATTTATTCCACCAGCGTTTGCTTCCCATGGGCCAGGCAATGCGATAAAGTACACAGAGGGCACTGTAACTGTCTTTTGCCTTTGTCCGTAACCCCAGTGTTAGCACAATACTAGGTATATAGTAGGTGCTTAATAAATGCTCATTGACTGACCAAATTTACACCGTATAAATGTCATCTGTTTTTATCATTACCACTGCACCCAGAGATAGATTCTAAGGTCACAGCTCAGGTAGAGTCAGCTTCATTCAGGATGTCCAATGATTCCTTCCTCCCTCACATCCCATTCAGATGCTAAAAGGATAGCCCCAGCTCTATCCGGAAAGATTCGAACACCCTTAAATTCCTCAGACTATTAATATAGATGGCATGGAGGGTCTTTCAAATGCTCTTCTGGTTTGGCAAGTGAAATTTGGGTGATCACCAGCTACCTGTTAGTTGCAAAGTTGAGGACAGAGTTGTGTGCATGGAAAATCTCCCCGGAATTGTCGTGAAAATGCACAGTGAAGGTCAAGGTCATTCCCAAAGGTAAAGCTGCCAAAACCTCCTTATTCTGGGCATGCAGAACAGGGCTTACTGAAATCCTCAGGTACGAAACAGGAGACACCTAAAGGTCCGAAAGGAAAAATAATGCACGTTCGAAAGCCGTTCACTTGGCCTTCCCTGACCACATAGGAGACAAAATGGAGTCCTATACTGAAGCACATTCTGCTTCATATGGAATAGAATATACTCTATAAATGGTTATTACATAGTGATATATTATTCGCGTTCATATTGTTTCTTCATATATAATAGAAGAACACCGTCCTATTGTTGCCAGGGAGATGACATATTGGGATAGTATTATTTCCTTGCCTTTGATAAAGCAGCAGTTGACCTCACTATTGAAATCATGACAACGAGAAAAGATGAAAGACTCTTCCATGTTCCCTAGATTACCTTAATCAAGTTTACTGACTCCTTCAGGTTCCAAATAGAGGGGCCTAGCTAAAACTCTAGGTGGATGGATCCCAGTTTATAGTGTTTTCTAATACAAATATCAGAATACATTAAATAGCTCAATATGAGGTGATTATTCACATTTCAGAAGGATTCTCTGCTTTTTGAAAGGATTCAACTGCAGGATCTACAGGTATTCTTTAAATAGACAGGCCTTCCATGACATTTAAAAACAGGATTTTTTGTTGAAAGAAATTAGAACTCTTCAATCTGTGCATCTCTATATAGGAAAAGAAAGTTAATGTTGGGAAGAGAGAAGAGTCCTTGCCTCTATGGGGTCTGAAGAAAGATCCCAGGATCTAAGAGCTCCCCACCAACTCACTGAATAGCCTCAGGCAGGTTTCTTATAGTTTGGGGCACTTGGTTTCTTCCTTTGTGAAATGAATAGGCTGGGCTAGCAAATCTACTGCTAATTTCAGCTCTATAATTAAAGTTTACCCGTACATACTGCCCTTTCAAGACAAATGAATGCTCAATCAGTTTTGACCTGGATAAGGGCGGGAGGGATGGGTTGGGAGGATAGGCCCTTGCAAGTCAACTCTCTTGAGAGACGAATCTGTTAATTAATGAAATAGACTAAGAATGTTACAGGAAAAATCTCAAAAATAAAATGAGAGTGTTTTCCCTACCGCACAAGATTTTAGAAAGTGATTAATAAAAAATGAGGAAACACAGCTCTCTCTCCTGACGTGTAGGGGGCAGGGTTTTGAGTTATCTGCCTACTCTGGCCTCCATCAGCCTGGAGTTTCCTTCTACACTCACCAATTGTGAAGGATAGAAGGCCCTAGAATAAGGTTACACAGATGGATTTCTGGGGGGCCTGGGTGGTCTGTGAACTTAGATTGGAAGAAATTACATCTTTATTTTTACTGTCATTATTTTTCTTTGTAATCCTACATACTGTATTTCATATTTTTAAAAACATCATTCTATTAGTGGTTCCATAAGTTCCTCCAGACTGACAAAGTGGTCCATGACACAAAAAAGGTTAAGAACTCCCGATCTCTAACAACTTCCTCATTTTATAGGTAAGAAAAAAGAGGCCCAGGAAGGTGCTAGCCTACAGTCACATAGCTAAGTAAGTGCTGGAGGCAAGATTCAAACCCATAACTAGTAACATATATATATATATATATATGTATATACACATATATATACACACACACATACATACTCATAATCTAGTAACTCACAGCTAGTAATTGTTGGAGGCGAGATTCAAACTGCTATCGCCTGACTCTAAGTTTATGATCATTTACCCAATGTTACATTGCTAGTAACTAGTAGAGTCCGAATCAAAATTGAGGTCCTCTTACTCTGAGTTCAGGGCTCTGTTTCCTATCCTAAGCCCTGGAAGCCCCCTCTTCCTTTTGATTCTCCCTTGTCTGAAGCACTTTGTTTGTACATCTCTTCTGACACCTACTATGCTGTTCTCTGTGTACTTGTCTCACTCTCTCTGCAGCTTGTTTGTCATGGCGCCATTTGTAGCACCCAGTATAGCAGCCTACAACTAACAAGAACACAAAAATATTTATCAAATTGAATCTTAAGGCCCTCCACAGCCTGGCTCCTTGTTGCCTTTCCCACCTCATTTCATATTATTCCTTTTCAGGTTTATCATGTTCTAGCCAAATGGGGTAGCGAGCCATTCTGTGACCTCTGAAATCACTGCTAGGACCTCTGCAATCCTATCCCAATAGATTCAATGAATGTGTGAGTATTCTATCAGGCACGAGGGGCACATATGATAATAGGGAACCTTTCATATATATCTATGAGATACCAGAACCCAAGGAGCATTGGTAGAATTGAGACAAGGCATCTGTGCACCCCAACCAAAGCTTGATAACTGTGCTTTGTGGGTCACTGCCCACCAAAGCCCTCATTGGAGTACATGGGATGTGAGATTATCAGGGACAGGAGAAGAGCCTGGTGAAAGGGTGATAAACTGATAATCAAGAGATATGAGTTTGGGTACGAACCTTGCCTGCTATGTGACTGTGGCCCAGTTATTTAATCTGTCTGGACCTTGGTTTCTTCTTCGGTATGATGGGGATAAGAATACTTCACAGGGGTTCTGGGGAAAGAACCTTGTGAATAAAGTGTTGCAGAAAAATGAATTATTATAATGAAAAAATAAACATTTGTGGGCCGTGGAGAAATGAAATTTTTGGTATTAAAGCATGCATTTATTAAAAAAAATCTTAAATGTATCCTGCATTTTGCCCCCATGTTACTAATACCCTAGGGAGTTGCCTGTATTGCCTAAGCCTGGTTCCAGCTCTGATCCTGGGCTGGAAAAGGCTAATGTAGACCCTCTGTTGTAAGCTCCGACCTTTGGAAAGCTAGAAAAATTGCTGGCTGACTATCTCCTTTTATCATGTTCATGTACCATGCAAGCCAAGCAACAGAAAATGAGGTTTAAAATTATCAATTGGTAGCTATGTATTGTGGGAGATGAAACTCTTCAAGCAAACTAGCCATTGAAAGAGGTAAAAGTGGCCCCTTTGAGAAATTATGCTCTCTCTTTCTGACCATAACGGGCAGCAAAATGCTGTTTAAGTGTACCAATGGATCTCTAATAAAGTTCACAGGATCATGGATCTAGACCAGGAGGTCCAGGAAGTTAAATGACTTGTCCAAGGTCACACAGGTAGTGACAATGGCAAGACTTGAACACAAGTCAAAGTGTACATTCTTTTAATCATTTCATGCTGTTTAATTGTTCTGAAAAAAGAGCTTTCCCTTGGGAAAGAGAGCATGTATCAATCTTTACTCCCTGAATAAACAGCACAAAAACATTCATTTATTTGATTATTAATGTGACAGGCAGCCTGAAGAGTGGAAAGAGTGTTTCTCTCAATGTCTTCCTCTCTCAAATGGAAGTAATTATCAACGCACTAGGACCCTCACATGACCAAAAAGAGGGAAGATTGAAAGTTCTCTCTAATCCTCATGACCTCTTAAACCTCTCCATAATAGGAATTTTGTGCAAGAGATAAAACAATATCTTAGTCTCCATAGTCTAGGACACCACACCAAGAATTCAAAGGCGGTAACACTTCAATTAGCAGGAGGCTAATTCCTAACCCTTCAAAAAGTTCATTGAGTAACCCCCTCCTCCAAGATCCATCACCCTCAGATAGTGGGGCTGTACGAACTGACCTACAGACTTGCAACAGAACTCAACTCTACTCTGCCTCCTCCCAGTGGTAGAAAACCAAAAAGCAAAAGTTTGTTTAGGCTGGTATAGTGGCATGGTAGCATTTTGTGCTGCAACAGAGGGAATTGGGTTAAGGGGTGTGTGTGTGTGTGTGACTACACTAAACCTGAGTGAAAGAATCCAGCATATAGCTGGAGCCAGTCCTGTACCCCTAGAAGTCAGCTGGGGCAAACACTGAGCCTGGTAAAATATGAACTACCATCTGTGGCAGGAAGTTGAGACAGTTTTGAACTCCATCCTCCAGGGGAATTGCCATAAAAGGTGACGTAGTCAGAGTGAGAAACAGAAGAACTTAAGGGGAAAGAAAGACTGAAATTAAGAAAGACTTCAGGAGGAAGAAAACTCTATTAAAGACCTTGAGTATAAGTAGGTAAACTAAGGGGGAAGATATTAATAGCAGATGGGAACATGGTTTTCAGATCGGGTAAAAGAGTCCAGACATCTATGAGTAAATATAGTAAGACAAATGAAAACGGTATCAACATTTGGTGAGGCAGAGGACCCATGGATTCTCACGAGAGCATGAAACTGCAGCAAGATGTTCCTGAATGGTTTTAAAAGAGAAATAAGAATTGGGAAAGCAGAATTTGTGGCCTGCATAGCAAAAATAATCGACAGAATAGAAAAATTTGAATCTGCAGAGGCAAGTCTCATCAAAGAAAAGAAAGAGAAAACTGGGAATGCAAATACACAGAAGTGAAAGACAATCTGGAAGAAGATAAGCTAAAAGTAATTATGTTAAAAGATGGTATGATCTACACATAAGCAAAAGACAGTGATCTTTACACAGAGTGCATAGAGACAATGTTTGTCTCCCAGAAGAAAAAGAACCCAAGTCAAAAAACTTGAACACCATAATGCAAGAAATAATGCAAGAAAACTGCTCAAATCTTTTGAACACAGAAAGCAAAATGCCTATTGAAAGAATTCACAAATGATCGAGGAAAAAAATCAATTCACTACTTATTTTCACACAGTGGTTGTGAAGGAAGTGCTTTTAAATCATAAAACACTATATAAATGTGAACAGATATTATTATTCACATGACTTGTTTACCACTCAAGTATGAAATGAATTTTTCTTTAAAAGTGCAGTCATCTGGTGTATATAGAGGTTAAAATTCTCATACTTGCAAGGGGAAAAGATGCATAGACCCTAAAGATTTTATTATTCCAGAGAGAGAAGGAAAAAGAATCATCCTATCCCACCTTCACAGCTACAATAATTGTCTGGTTGACTCCAAACGGCTCTTGTGAAATCACTTCAATTGTTGATGTCCCAATTAACGATCCAGATACCAGGAAGCCTTTTTCATCGATGTACACGACAGGAACCTTTTCTGGTCCATCCAGAATGCGGTAACTCAGAGATGCAACTCCATCCCTCAAAGAAGCAAAAACAGACTCTCTTAAGAAAGGCATTTATTTGCACGGGAAGCTGAAGAGGCTGCTGGGGTCTAATCAGGGAAAAGTCTGTGTGGTTGGGACACTACCAGACTGAATCCAAGGAGCTTTGCTATACAATCTGAGTATCTTCTTCACAACTTCTGATTTTAGCCTGCTTAAGGGGAAGTAAAAAAGTCTTATCTTGCCTCCGCCATGTATCAGGAACAACTTGCTGTCAGCTCTACAGCAGCCTCATCATTCACTGATTGAAAACTTAATTTGGAAAACTGATGGTTCTAAGGACAACAGACTTTCTCAGAAATCATTTGGTGAATGGTGTCTAATGGGCATTAATCAGCAAAAAAAGAAAGGTACAGAGGGTTAAACTAGGATCAGACACTTGGAGATTTTTTTTACCACTTCAAAATACTTTTAAAGCACTTGACACCCTGATAGAAAGCCACAGCTGGACACAATTCCCTCCCTTCCAGGTCTTCCATCTCTATTCCAAGTATGCAGTGTTTCCAAGGCTCCAGATTTGGGTCTGTTGCTGCCACCACCACATCTGGCCACTAGGGGTGCACTGAACCTTTTCAATGTTGACTACCACCTGGGAAGTCTTACTTTACCATATAACTAAGGCACACTAGGTTGTGGTTTTGAGGGGGTAAAGAAGGGATAGGTAAAAGCAGAGAAAAGAATGCATTTTCTGAATTTAACTAAAATGTCTCATCACACATTGGCTTAACTGGTTGTTTACAAGCTACCCCAAACTCTGGTTATGTTTCTTCACCAAAATCTAACTCACTTTCTCCTTGGATTCTGACCCATCCAGTATTACTGCTCTTTGTGAGTCAGGATTCTTATCCTTGTTAGTATAATTGCTGAGCGTTGTATAGCCATCAGGAATAAAGTTTTACAGCGGGAAAGAGACCTCACAGGGTCATCTAGTTCAAGCCTTTCATTTTTCAGATTAGGAAACTAGGGACCAGAGAAGCAAAGTCACTTGTCCAAGATGACATGGGTAGTGAAATAGGCAGAATTTGAACCCAAGTCCTCTGACTCCAAATCCAGAGTTTTTTCCACTTCCTCACACAAGGCAGGTACCATCCTTGCCTTTGAAGTTTCTGCATGACCTTCTACTTCCTTTAGCAGGTAGAAGCACTCTTTCTCTAACCACTAGTGCCTAAAAAGCAGCCAGGCAGCAGCATAGTGGATGGAGTGCTAGACCCAGAATTAGGAAGATCTGAGTTCAAAACCAGCCTCAGCCAATTACCAGCTGCATTATCCTGGGCAAGTCACTTATCTCTTTCTGACTCAATTTTCTTAGCTGTAAAATGGGAATAATAACAGTACCTTTCTCAAATGGATCAAATGAGATAGTATTTGTAAAGTACTTTGGGAACCTTAAAGTGTTATATAAATGCTAGCTCTGCTAGCTCTTATTATGTCAAAGGTCCCTGTTCCTTTTAAGCTTATTTCCTATTCTCTTCCTGTCTGAAGGAGCCAGTCTGATGCTCATTTGTAGAATGAAATGACTGACAGTTCTTGAGTTTCAAAAATATTGTACACTTTTCAAGGTAGGTGAACACACATGCATCAATCCTTAAGATTCCTCTAAACAGCCATATTTGAAACAAAGCAGGTGCCAATCAGTTGGGGACGAGCTAAACAAATAGTATATCGATGCAAGTGAATATTATCGTGCTATAAAATGATGAGGATAATGGAAAGACTTATATGAACTCACACAATATTAAATGAGAGCAATATATTCAATGATTATACTAACACAAATGCAAAGAACACGACAAAGGAGTCCAACTCAACATAACTGTAAGAATCAACCTTGGTGGAGCGGCTAGGTAGTGCAGCAGATAGAGCACTGGCTCTGCAGTCAGGAGGACCTGAGTTCAAATCTGGCCTCAGATACTTGACACTTCTAGCTATGTGACCCTAGGCAAGTCACTTAACCCGATCGCCTCACCAAAAAAAAAAAAAATCAACCTTGGTCCCAGACAAAAGAAAAAAAAAATAAAACATTTTCCTCCTCTTCAAAGTACGGGTGCAGGGCATCGCATACTCCGTTGGATATGTTTCTTTTGGGTTTAGTTTTGATTTACTTGGGGAGTTCAATGTCTGAAGGTGGGGGTACTACATCCAGAAATGACTGATGTAAACACAAAGGACACCAGTAAAACTTTTTAAAAATTCACCAATAGCCAGGTTTTCCCTGGCTCAGTTTATTCCTCTACCAAATGGGAATGATAATGATGACGAGTGAAATTATTATCATCACTATATATCTACTTCATGAGAGGCAGCAGGACATTGTGAATAGAGAAACAGCTTGACATCTATTATCTCACATGACCCTTCACAAAGCAGTTAACCTCTTGGTTGCCTGGGCAACCAAGGATTATAAATTTCAGAGAAAAGTAACTTGTATTATTAGAGGGAACTGTCTAACCAGAGAGTTCCGTATACCCAATTTCAGCTCCAGTTCCTCTCCCTGGCCCACCTACTGCATAGAATTGTTGTGAGGAAAGTTCTTTGTAAATTGTAAAGTGTTATATAAAAGTGAGTAGTTATTCCCTTAACAAATACATAAAATGGATGTTAGTAAGCATAAGGTCTGTTACTTCGAATCAGAAGCTGGAATACTGCAACGTAGCATAGCAATTTTTTCCCTTTTATGTAGAGAAATTTGACTAGGCACCTCTGATGTTTATCTGTTTGTAGAGGCAGTGCGGTTTATTGATTGCAAAGAACCCTGGATGGAGGGTCAGAAGACCCAAGTTCGAGTTCCCTTTTCATCTTACTAGCTGTATGAACTTGGAAAAGAGTCTTTAGGAAGTTTTCTCATCATTAAAATGGGGCTAATCATAAGTGCCTGATTTGCCTCAAAGAGTTATTAACAAAGATCACATGAGGCATTGTATGTAAAGTGTGTGTGACTCCAAAGCTCTACAAAAAGGTGAGCTATTCCATAGCCTGAGGAAAAGAGAAAAGAGAAAATGAAATGTAAAGAAATAGGGATGGAAGAGAAATTAGAAAGGGTGTTTGAATTTTTAATGAAACACCACAAAAAACCATATTTCAACTGTATTTCAAGTTTTTTCCACTTTTTTGAGAAACCTGGAGGCAGACCCCCTCCTCCACACACACACGCACACACATACACACACACACACATGCACAACCTTTGTGACCTTGGGAAGAACTCTGAGACACGTACCTGTTTGTCTGAAGTTTTATAAATGAGTTTGGCGACATTAATATTTGTTCGGCTTCTATTTCAGGATTAAGCAGTAGAAGCTTTTCAAATACCTGTGTGTGTATGTGAGAGAGCGAGAGAGAATGAGTTAGTTTTATTACCTCCAGTATCATCTGAGTCACACACACACATCTGTTTAGATTCCCTTGTGGGATGGGAGCCAAGAAAAGTGAGAAAACAGAAGGCTACAGTAATTTTTTTAAGCTAAAAGTCATTATTGAACTTCTCTGTAACAGTAAACTAAACTTTCAGACGGGCAAAAGACATGCTGAAAACAACTAGATAGGCCATTTCCATCTGTTTTTATATTGAAATGAAGGTGGGACAGTTATCCTTTTAAGCAAGGACAAATGTGCTGAGAATGCCCCTTTGGTATTCCCACCTAAAATTCTATAGCTTTACTTAAAAACGTGTGCAAATGAGAGGCTATAGAAAGCTCTGGCAGAATGAGGACTCTAGCGCCATTCCAAATATGATGCTACCAAGACACCTCTCTCTCTCTCTCTCTCTCTCTCTCTCTCTCTCTCTCTCAGTTTCATTCCCTTCATGTTAACATCCTGATCCTCACCGACAGCTGCTTAGACTCTGATTTCCTGTTTCATCACTTCATTGCCTTATCTCATCCCCTCCCTATCTTGACACATTCTGACAGTATCTACAAAGATCCAGAGAAGTGGTGAGTCAAGCCACCATGAGATGAATTCAATCAAGCAGATAGTAAATCTTAAAACACAAACCTAATGTTTTTCCTTACACGTCAGTATCCTCACCTGGCTACATTCTAACTTAGACTGTCTGGTCTATCTGGGGTCAGTACTGTTAGAGACCCAGGGTCTCCCAACTGGCTTACTCATCTTCATCACAAAGGGGTGCCACTGAGCCAATATGACCCAATACAACTATGATAGAGAGACTACGATCAGAAGAAGTCAGCCAGGAAATATGGTACAGTGGAGAGAGTGTTAGATCGGGGACTAGACATTTCAAATGCTGGTTCTCCCAATTACTACCCATGTGACTTTGGACAAGTTGCTTAGTATTTCTGGACCTCAGTTTCTTCTTGCATAAAACAAAGGGATGGAACTAAATAACCTCTAACATCCCTTTTGATTCTAGATCTCTGATGCTATAACTTGAGTTCTGGCACCATCACCTATGATCTGTGTGACCCTGGACAAGTCATAGATTCCCTGAGCCTTAGTTTTCTCCTCCATAAAAAGAGTCTACTGCCACTTAGATGAACAGGTTTGTTATGAAGATCAAAAGAGGTAATATATGTAAAAAGGCTTTTTAGTTGTAAAGAACTCTAAAAATGTCAGCGATCACTATTAATACCCTGGGTATGGAGGGAGTGGGAATATGGGGCTTCCTGTCTCCTTCATGTACTATCTGCCCAAAGCACTTGCCTTTTTGTCTTACTTCCTTCTCTAAGGCACTATCCTTCCTGAAGATCCTCATTAGCACATCCTTCTCCAAACAGACCACAAAGACATCTCAGAACGAGCAAAGGCATCTGGTTTCAGAGATTATACTCAGAGGCCCATTCTCTCTGCCCTAGAACAAACTCTGGTTCTCAGGAAGACAAACCAGGAAGAACAGAATTGGTAGTCAGTGGAGTAAAGACAGGGGTGTGTGGGGAGCCAGTTATATCAGCTATTGAGAACCGATTATTAAAATATCAAATGCTACCAATCAGGGATTGACTGATTGTTTTAAGAATGTGATGTTAACAATGCAGATTAAACTTAATGGTGAGGTGTGTGAACTTTTTTCCCCTGAAGAGCAAAGATGTTAAACATTTACCAACATGCCCCTGGATACAAATACAGGAAGAGTTCTAAACCCAAAGCCTAGAGGTCTGAGTTCCAGCCTCATTTCAGAAACTTACAAACCATCTGACCACAGGCGTCCTTTATCTCCTTTAACTTTGGTTTCCTTTTTGTTTTGTAGATTAGTCATGCCTGACTCTTCATGACCCCATTTGGGGTTTTCTTGGCAAAGATATTGCAGTGGTTTGCTATTTTCTTCTCCAGCTCATTTTACAGATGAGGAAACTGAGGCAAATAGGGGTTAAGTGACTTCCCCAGGGTCACACAGTAAGGATTTCAGGCCGGATCTGAAATCAGGTCCTCATAATTCTAGAGCTGGTGCTCTAGCTACTGCACTAACTAGCTACCTTTACTACCCTCATAATATTATTTAAAAGAAAGCACTTTGAAAACCAATAAGGTAATAAACATGAATGCAATGTATAAATGGTAAAACTCTATAAATATAAGCTATTTATTACTGTTGTTACCATTATCACCCAAACCCATGCAACCTATGCAGATCTACAAGAGAAGCACTCCAAGGGGACATGGGGCATGGGGCATGGTGAGGGAGTTTCTGGGATAAGCTGATGGGATCCATGTTAAGATTTTTTTTACTATTACATAGCACTTCACAGCTTACAAATCAGTTTCATATATAAATAGTTTTTTATCTAAGTTAAATACAGTTATTCTATAATGTATATATATATATATATATATGAATATGTGTATATATGTATATAAATCACCCCTTCTGAGTTGCACAATAGCCCTGTAAATAGAATAAAGACATGACATTATCTTCATTTTACATATGAAGAGACCAAGGTCCAGAGAAGGTAAATGCATTATCTAAGCTCAAACAAGTAACATCTGATAGAACGTAAGCCCTTTGAAGGCATGGGCCATTTACTTCTGTCTTTGTATTCTCAAGTCTAAGTGCTTAATAAATGCCTATTCATTAACTGACTTAAGTGGCAGAACCAGATCTCAAATCTAGGACTTCTAACTCCAAAATCCAACATTCTTCCCAGTTCTACTCTGGGTGAACCACTGCGTCTGCTGTTGACTGGCATCAGACTCAGTCAGATTTTTGTTAGGGCCTGGGTACATGGGCCAGAGGTTGATTTTCAGTTCCTATTTATAAATCCCTAAAGCAAGACTCAATGGGTTCCCTCTTATTTTTATTGTTATTTACATATCTATTTCTACAATACCTCCATTCCCAAGGAATGGAGGAACCAGCATCCATTTCTAGTAAAAATCAGTTTTAATGTGTGGGAGATAAAAATTAATCCTTCCCCAGAAATCTCCACTCAGAGCAGAAACCAGTGTTATCTCTGGGGAAGGGCCACTTCAGTTACCATGCTTTCTGGAACCTGCTTCTTCCTCTGCTTCAGTGAGTCTGTGATCTAAAGACCTCAAAATGAGCTGTTTCCATTTCTCTACTCCACTGACCCCGCCTGCCAACTGAAAGAGAGCCTGTCTTAGGGAGCCCAAGCAGTGCTGTTAACAGCCCCGTGCCAGGAGATCTGGCCAATTGTCAGGGCTGAAAAGGACAGGAGAGAAACTGGCCATTAGCCTCAGAAGCCCGAATTGACTGACTGACTGACTGACTGACACATGATACTTAGGAACAGTGTTTTTCCTTATCCTGTTCATTATGATTATCATCATCACTATCACCATCACTGCCATCCTCAGGAACATCAGTGCTTATTTGGGCATGGACATCCCAGAGCAGTACATACATTTACTAACCTCAGTTAGTAACCTCAGAAAGTACCCCTGGCTTCCTGGCCTGGCCAGGCTGGGTGTGGCTGCCTGCATGTGGGCAGGGTAGGGTGGTGAGAGTTCCCAAGCTTGGTTTATTATCAGGATATCATTCCAAAATGGCCAGGGAAGGAGACATAGGTAAGAAGTACCAATGAAGGAGCAAATTCCAGGCAGTGTCTTTAACTGGGAATTCAGTATGTAACGGTGAAGGAATACTGCAAGCATCACCTATTACTGAGAAGATGACCACAGACTCTTTGAATAAAATATTAGGATTGGGAAGGAACTTAGCACTGAAGCCAACCTTGACTTTGACAGATTGTCAAACCAGGGTACGGAGATAAATTGACTTGCCCAAGGTCTCACCACCAGTTTCTCTTTCTAGGCTGACTGCTCATTACTCCCCTGTCACAAGCCCTACATTCTGACCAGTGTGGCCTCTTTAGTGTGCCCCCTACAGAGAACGCCATCTCCCACCACTGTGCTCTGTGAAAGCTGTTCTCTATGCCTGAAATGCTCTTCCTCCTCACCTCCTGGGGCTACCTGATCAAGTGCTAGCGCCTTTAAAGGCTTTGCTGATGTCCCCAATTGTTAGTACCCCTACCCAAATGACTCTGTGTTAATTTGGTATATATCCTGTGCTTAATTATCTGTGAATTTGTACTCTCTACACCAGGGTAGAATGCAAGCTCACTGGGGGCAGGGGTGACCTTGCTTTGGTCTCTGTGTCCTCAGAACCTAGTGATGTGTCTGCTGCGTCGCATAGTAATAAATTCTTGTTGATTGACTGGAGAGGAATGAAGTCCAAAGAGTCAGAGGCAACAGTCCATAATAAAACACACTGCCTCCTAAGCAGGTGACCCAGGTCCTAGGGATGAATTTGATGATCTATAAGATCAGCCTTGAAATTTTGTGAGCCTAAGCAGTCCTTTGCTGTTGTTGTCGTCGCTTTTTTTTCAGTTGTGTCCAACTCTTCATGACCCCATTTGGGATTTTCTTGGCAAAGATACTGGAGTGGTTTGGCATTTCTTTCTCCAGCTCCTTTTACAGATGAAGAAACTGAGGCATACAGGGTTAAGTGACTTGCCCAGGTCATACAGATAATAAGTATCTGAGGCCAGATTTGAACTCAGGGTCTTCCTGTCCAGACTAGTACTCTATCCATTGAGCCACCTACCTGCCCTAAGCAATCCTCTACAAGAGTCAACAGTCAGGAAGCAAACAGGACAGTAAAGGATCTTATACTCTTGATATCCATTTTCATTATCCTTATCCCCACAACTTGTCCATTCTCTCCATGTGCCCATAGGACAACTCTGCCGCACAGCTCCAAGGAGTCTGAGCTTCATGGAAAGCTGCTGAGATCAGCCATGTTCTCTCTGAGCCTCAGTTTCCTGAGCTGTAAAACTGGGGCAATAATACCTGTGGTTCCTACTTCTCAGCATCAAATGAGATCCTATCTAAAACTTTAAAACATTATACAAATGTCAGCAGTGATGAAGATAATGTGCATAGCTGTAAATTATATAGCACTTTACAACTAGAACTCAGATTTCCCTGCCACTCAAAAGACACAAAAATGATGTTTGCTGTGAGTGCACTGTCATCTATCCACCACCATAACTTACTTCATTTAAGATTGAGTGAGAACATGAGCCAAGGAATGAATTGGCCTACAACGTGGGGCTGTCTGTGGTTTCTCCTAGGTTTCAGACAGTCAAAGAAGGAAAACACACAAGCAAAGAAGAAGGAAATACCAGCAGCCCCACTCTTCTTGCTGGTAGCTGGGTTACTGAAGGAATTAAACCAAAGAGTCTCTGGACTATAATTCCTGCAGGTAGGAAAAATGGGGTCAGCCATAATCTCATTCCCAAAGTGGGAAGGGCCCTGTGAGCACATCCAATCCTAACCTGTGGCAGGAATCCCCTCTCTAACATACTTGGCAAATGGCCATCCTGCCACTGCTTAAAGACCGACAGTGAAGGGGGTTTCATAGCCCACCGCATGACTACCCACCTTCATTGTTAAGCAGTTTTTCCTTACTGTTATCTAACTTCCCTCTTTGGTCCTGTCCCAGACGTGTATGCTGTGACATCTCTCTCCCTCCCCAGCAGAACAAGGCTGTTCCCTCTTTCCCATGATAGCTTTTCCCATACTTGAAGGCACTGATCAGATCCCCCGCCCCCCAAGCTTCACAGACACCCTGAGACCGATTTCTTGTGCTTGGCATTTCCCATTCATGTGCCTTCATATTTACCTGGATCTGGATTTCATCTGAGAGCTCCCTTGCCAAGCCATAGAACTGTCCTGCTGAGGGGTCCAGGGTTTTGACCACAACCTTCAAACCTGTTCTTCCCTTCACTCGGCCGTGAACACTCATAGCGAAGTTATACTTGGATGGGAGCCGGAGAGACGCCTGCAGCATCAACATCAACATTCATTGAAATACAGAGGAGGAGGGCAGTTTCAAGCATCAACTCCAAAACCTTTCCAGGTGTCTCCACATTACAAGCCTTAATGTCAAAGAGTTAGTCTGGTCTTTTCTTTCTGCCTCTCTTCTTTCTGGTCAAGATAGTTTACAAATTCATTAAGAATAAAACAAACTCCAAAGTAATGAGAAATAGCAGTCACCAACAAAACAAACACAAAACAAGAAATCCATTCTATACTACATGTTTCCCCTTATCTCAGGGGATACCTCTACAGGTAGACTAAGATAATAGAATAATGCTAGATTGGGGATCATGAAACCAGGGTTCAAATCCTGGCTCACTCTCCTTTCCTATGTGATGTGACTAAGTCAGCTAATTTCTTTGAGCTTCATTTTCCTCATCTAGAAAATAGTTAATAATGTTTCTCCCAGCTACTTCGCAGGCTTTCTGTAAATGAAAATGAAAACCTTAAAGAACTATTAAAAACTTAAATTAATATTAGTTGCAGCATGCTAGATTCAGTTTATGAGAGCTTAACCACACAGAGATAAGTATTTTTTTTGCCCAAAGACACCTAGTAACCTTCTCTAAAAAAAGAAAAGAAAAGAAAAGAAATCACAGCTTTTGACTCACTTGTATAGGTTATTACTTTCCTCTCTGATTTATAGACAGGATGGCCTCCTATTGCCTCCTATTATCCATTTCTATCACTGTACTGGGAACTCAGCCAAGGCTGTGGGGATTGAGGCCCTCTTATGGGTCATCTGCTTGTAATTCGGAGACCCTAGTGAGGCACAGACAAATACCTCGTTATGTCTTGCCCTGATGTCCAGGATGTCTCTCTTGGTGACAGACCAGTGAAAAGTTAGCCCCGGTATGGCATTTCCAAAGGAGAAAGGGCTTTGGCTGTTGGTGATACCTGTGACGTAGACCGGCATCTAATTGAGGAGAGGACAAGACATGAGTTGAGATATAACAGAAGAGAAGATGTGCTCACAGCAGTCCCATTTTTAGCATAACACAAAGTCATGTTAAAGGAGAGGCACTGTGACCCAAGTGGATAGAAAAGTCATCTCAAAGCTAAGAAGCTCTGGGTTCAAGTCTCATCTCTGAGACAATGGCATTGTGACTGGACAAATTACTTAACCTCTCAGTGAGCTGAGCAGTTCAGTCAGGCTGTTCTGCTGACCTGCACTGGGAGAGGGTGTTTTCACATTTAGGGGTTCCCTATACCAATGAAATCATAAGTTCAGTACTTATGCCTATACCTAATACAAGGTAATCCTTGAACATAAACTGTATTGTCCTCAATTGCTTTGTCTCTTAGTATGTTCCCTCTGACTACCCAGCAAGCTTGTTAAGGACAGGGAACATGACTTTTCATTTTTTCACTTTTGCTCACCACCTTACAACAGTGCCTTCCCCTCCCCACCCCTCAATGTCTAACACATGGGTGGAAAAACTGTAGGTACTCAATACTTATTAACTGAATTGAACTGAGAGTTTTTGTAGGGAAGAGGCGGAGGAAGAGGAAAGCCTCACAATGGATTTTGTTCCCCACCCCAATAAGCACATCCTTTGGAAAGGAATGAAGGATAAAATCTCACCCAGTTTATTTGTTAATTATATCTTCATTTACTTTTGCTCTCACTTTCAGCCTGGGATCCAAGGAAGGTAAAAAGGGAAGGTTTTTTGTTTTGTTTGTTTCTAAGCCAAAGCATTTAAATATCTACCTCACCCCAGAGAAATTAATTACAAAACCCAGCAGGAAAAGAAAGGAGTATTAGGATCCCCAAGCCCTTAGCCCAATATGCCTCAAAGATGAAGCTGGATAAGATGGGCACTAAGATTGTCCAGTCATCATCACTGCCCTTAGCTCCCTCCTCTGAATGTCGAAGTGAAACTACATGATACTCTAAGGATCCTTACATCTCTAATAGTCTATGGTTCCGTGACCCCAAATTAACAGCATAACATGGGAATAAGATAATGACTTAACAGCAGCATGAAGGAATGAAGAAAAGCAGCACACACCCCCCTTCATCTCACCTGGGTCCCTGTCTTCATTCTTGTGATGGGAGCTCGGATTCTCACAGCCTTGAGATATACCACCTCCACATCTACTCGATCCTTTGGGAAAAAAAAACAGCTTAAAATATCTGGATGGCGGGGCAGCTAGGTGGCATAGTGGATAGAGCACTGGCCCTGGAATCAGGAGGACCTGAGTTCAAATCCAGCCTCGGACACATAACAGTTACTAGCTGTGTGACTCTGGGCAAGTCACTTAACACTATTGCCTAGCCCCCCCCAAAACATATTATATAATACACATATATATCTGAATAGCTCATTGGCCGACTAAGCACTTGGGGCTAAAGAGTGTAGACCAGACCAGGGTGTGATACTTGCCATCAAAGTAGGCCAGGAGGAGGTACCATTCAACTGGATTATATAGTTGGGAAAACTGAGATGCAGGACCCAGGTGACATGGTAAATTGGTAGCTGCCTGGGGTCAGACCTCCTGACTGCCACATTGGGCTCAGCTGGAGCTGCCTACCTACCTCCCCTTCCATCTGCTATGAGGCTTGACAGGTTCCCCTCCCATCATTACTCCATGCCTAATGCAGATACAGATCTACAGAGAGGGGAAATGAGCTGTTCAAAGTATCATTGTAAATAAGTTCAAAGATTTAGAGCTGGAAGGGATCTCAGATTACTCTATTTTACTTGGTCCCTTTCTCAGCAAATTTCTAACAGTTCCAAATGAGGCCAGTGATTTTTAAAAAATCATAGCCTTGAGAAGAAAAAAAATTATATGCTTGAAATAAAAATAAAAAAATAAATTCCAAAACATTATATCTTAAAAAAAAAAAGAGAAACAACAATTTATACCAGAATGTTAAATCATATTCCAAAATCAATTTCAAAATGATAAATAATCTAAATATAAAAGGTTACAACATTAAAAAAATATGATAGAAAAATGGATGGATACCTTTTCAAAATCATGTTTAGGATGGGGGGGAGAATTCTTAACCAAATAAGAGATAAAAGAGATGATAACAGAGAACATAGACAATTTTGATTACATGAAATAGAAAAGCTTTTGCACAAACAAAATCAATATAGCTAGGATAAAATATAAAACTGTAGATTGTGGGAAATCTTATTATATATCTTTAATAAAGGTCTGATATCAAAGATATATAGAGATACAACACAAGTGCACAAATATCAAGTCATTTCCTAAAAATAAGTAGTCAAAGTATATGAACAAACAAATCTCCAAAAAAGAAGTGCAAACTACTAACTGCCATATAAAAGATTGTTCCAAATCATTAATAAAAAACAAGTAAGAAACAACTTAAATTTTACTTCACACCTGGCATATTGCCAAAGATCAAAAAAGTCAATTTTGGAAGGGCTGTAAGAAGACCAGAATGCTGATTCACTGATAATGGAAATATGAATTTGTCCAACCACTCTGGAAAAGAATTTGCAACTATATATACAAATGTATAACCTATATCAAATTGCTTGCCATCTCAGGGAGGGAGGAGAGAAGGGAAAGAGGGAGAGAATTTGGAATTCAAAATAAAAAAAACCCCAAATGTTAAAAATTGTTTTACATGAAATTCAGAAAAAATAAAATATCACTTAAAAATAATTTGCAATTATATGAAAAGGTGACTAAAATGAATGTCCCCTTGGATCCAGAGATGATTCTTCCGGGCACATACACCAAGGAGAAAAAAAAAACCCAGAAAGTTCCTCTGAATATGCGAATATATTCATAGCAACACTTTCTTGTGATAGCAAAGAACTAGAAACCAAGTACATAATTGTCGACTGGGGAATGTCTAAATAAATTGTGGTATATGAATGTAATGTAATATTATTGGTGGAATATTATTATTAATCTTTCTGGGGATATGCACACCATGGAAGAGATCTTTCTATTGGGAATGCTTTCATTTTGCTTGACAAAAATCAATAAACAGAGAGGAGAAATGCAGCAACCTGAAATTTTCAGCCCTGATGCCATCTTATTCTAGAGGTCAATCCCTCATCTCCCTCCTTAGCGAAATTAAATCTTTCCACTGGTGGAAGGAGACAGTAAGAGAAAAGAGCTTCATTTCTGTTGCCCTATTTCAAACTTGCTTCTCAATGCTAAGTACAAAAAAAATTTCAACTTTTGACCAGGTGAAAACCCATTGTAATTAAGAATTAAAGAAGTCTACTTGGGAAGGAAGAGAGTTCCTAAGAAACCCCTGAAATTTGCCAGGTCCTCTGCCCCACACTTTTCTTGAAAGGAAACTGGGTTATAACTTGGGGCAACCAGACACAGAAGAAGAGATAGAGGATTCCAATCTAGGCAGACAGTGATGGGAAGAATTTTGGGGAAATTTCTCAATGGATATGAAATCTTAGTTCTCCTAGTGGCAAAAAGATACAGCCTCCTAAGTTCTCCCCAAATAGAAACAGGAGATTGTTTTGGGATGCTCCAGTCTCCAAGCCTTGCATACTGGGGCTGAAGGCTCATTAACTCTTCATTTTAGCAGGTATATTAAAGAACAAAAGTAATTTGGAATCACTTGACTATTCTGGCTTTTGCAAATGGCATATGCCTTTTGATTGACCAAATATTTGCTCAAGAAATATATTCTTTTTATCCCCCAGTAGCATAAGACCAGGTATGAACTCTAGTCAATGCTCAATTACTCATATTAATAGTTGTCAGGTCTAGCATGAATCACTGAAATTATGTAGATAATCTATACACTTTCCCATCAAAATTTTCACTAGGACTATTAAAAATAAGCAAACCAGACAGCTGGATGTTAGCTCTTTTTCTTTCCTTGGCCCAGCCCACTGTGGAAGTGCTGATAATCCAAAGGTCAATGAAAGGAGGAGAAAGAAAAGGATAAGAAATGGTATCCTGCAATAAACCTTAGATAAATGAAGTTACCAAGGGGGTACGTTACCTGAGACACTATGACAACTTTTCCACTCTCTGCATCAACAGCTTGAACAAGCCCTGATACTGTTCCATTGCCAATGGTGAGGCCCTTGACCAGACCAGTGCTGTTCACTGAAGCAATCCTCTCATCACTGATGGAGAAAATGATGTTGGATTGAGGTTGGGGACCTCCCTCTGAAGTGATCTGGAGTTGTGGAAAACAACTGTGATTATCAGCCGCATGTCCTCAAGTCTTGCTCTGCTCTAGTTAATACTTGTATAAATTTCCATTTTGTGGATATGACAGGTTTATTCTAGAAAGCAACTCATCCTCACAGAGCTGACACTTACTTTGCTGAAAAGTACGTTGACTGTATCCAATTTAAGTCTCCACTCTGACAACACGTTAGAACAGAAAGGTGGCCAAGTGTGGACATGTCTGAGGGATGGAGAGCTGGGGGACAGGGAGAACAGGCCTTCACAGAGAAGCATGGATAAAATCCAATCTGTGGTCCAGAGCCCAGCACAGAAAGACTAGAGGTATGTGAAGTGTCGGGGAGTGGTATTCACTGACCTCAACATCACAAGAGCTGTCTACTACTGTAGTAGGATCACCTTAAAGCAAACTAAATAAAACTGACTCTTACCTGCATCATTGCACCAATGATTAAAGTCACTTTTCTTGGTATCAGTCTGAAGGGAGGAAATACCTGATAACAGAGAAAGAAATGGAAGCAGGTGGCCTTATATTCTTGTCTCAAACCATTTCAGCCAAAGTCCTCAGTCTGCCATTGAAAGCCCTTAATAACTGATTTTTTTATTTAATAATTTTTTAAATTTAAATTTAAATTAATTATAGTGGGCACCATTCTACAGGGTTTACAGAAGAAAAAGCGATGGATTTGGATCCTTGGTTTTGCCATTTACCACCCTGTGGGACCTTGGATAAGTCACATAGGGTAGTAAAAGACTAACTTCATCTCTCTGGGTCTCAGTTTCCTCATCTGCAAAGAAGGAGGGTGATGGACTTAATGACTTCTAAGATCCCTTTCAGCTCCAAATTTATGATCCTATTACTTAATGCACATCACTCGCCTTCACACAATCTATGCTGCAAAAGTCAAAATGACCTACTCAATGTTTGCCAAATTCAGCATCATCTGCCTCTGTGGCTTTGTACAGGCTGTGATACACTCCTTCCTCTCATCTACCTATCAGAATTTCTGGCTTTCTTAAAGGCATAACTCATACACCACCTCCTACAGAAAGTCCTTCCTGATACCCCAGCTGCCTGTGCCCCTCCTCTTCAAATGATGATGTATATACTAATCTGTTTACATGCTGCATCCATGCAATAGAATGGAAACTCCTTGAGGACACGGGTTGGATTTCATTTTGTTCACATATCCTGAAGGCCTAGAGAAGCAATGTGGGGTAGTGGACAGAAGGCTGGCCTCAGACTTTGGAAAACCTGGGTTCATGTCCTGCCTGACACATTGGCTGTGTGACCCTGGGGAGCCTCTCAGGGCGCCCTAAGCTAATTTCTAAGCTAACCGATATAAATTACAGAAAAGATGCTGCCCTGCATTACGAAAAGGCGTTTCCTCACTTGGAGCCTCCTTCAGCTCCTTGCCTTCTCACACATGCACTGATGAAATCACAGACCTGGACCAAAATGAAAAACAAAAACACCAATGCCTAATGAAGTACCTTGTACATAACAGACACTTACTAAATGATGACTGGATTGGGTAAATAATTAACAATTCCCCACACATACCCCCAAAGCAAAAGGAAGGTAATCTGCAAAATCACCCTGTCAGAACAGCTGCACGTTCCCAAATTACTTTCATGCTTCAAAAGAGAATAATAACAATCCTTCACATATGCATAGTTGACAAATTACTTTGTATTATTTTTTTCTATGATTTGCATTTACTTATTTGTATACATGTATTGTCCTAGTCAGGGACCATTTCTCTTATTTTCCTTCTTTCTATCCCGTGGATTCAGCACAGTGTTTGGCACATTACAGGTGCTTAAAAACGTAAATTGGATTGATCTGAACAAATTAATTTCACACTCATTTTTGTTCACTCCTGTTATCTGGCCAGGGCAAACAAACCGAGCCTTCTTAGGTCCTGGCAGGACTATGCCACCTGGGACAAGAATAATGTCTGTCACTACACTATGCTCCGTTATGACTCGGCTTCAGTCAGCCCAGTCTACCTCTGTACCCCCACCTCCCACTACCAATGTGTATTGTTCTTTTTCCCATCTCCAATGCCTTTGCCCTTGTCCTCCCAGCTCCCTGGAATACATCCCACAAATCTTCTCCAATGCAAATCTGGTCCATTCTTTGGGACCCTACTGAAGATTCCACTCATTGGTAAAGCCTCCCCAGGCTCACTATAACCTAAATTGATTTTCCCCTTTTCCTCGAATTCTTCCAGATGTTTTGTACTGATATATTATCTTAGAATTCTTCTTTATCAAGCTCATGTATGCTGGTTTTGTTTGCTTAATGATGCTATATAAAGGGCTATATAAGCCCTTTGGTGGCTCTCTGCTTCCTAGCTTTCTTTGTATGCAATCCAACAAGCTTTTAACTAGGCACCTACTAATGTGAAAGGCATGGTGCTAGGTGCTCCAGATACAAAGTCAGAATTTAAAAAAACCATCTCTACCCTTAAGAAAATTGGATTTCACATGAGGGAGTATGATAAACTTGAAAGAGATAAGCATAGATGTGATTATTTGAGTAGCAAAACGATGGTAACAACTTGGAAGCTCCAGAGAGGCTTCCAGAAGGAGGCAGCATCTATGCTGAGGCTTGGAGGAAGCCAAGGATTCTAAGTCAGAGGTAGAAGGGACTACATTTCAGGCCTGCGAGAAAGTTCATGCAAAAGCAGGTGACTGCAACACTGATGTCTGTGACCAGCAAGCAGGGAGGTCACTTTGGCTGGAACACAGAATTTGCAAAGGAGAGAAGCAGCCTATAAAAGTGGGCTGATGTGAGATTGTGAAAGACTTTAAATGCCAGGCTCAGGAACATGGACTAGACCTGTGAGGTCACTGGTAGAAGGAACTCTCAGATAAGGAAACTCCTCCTCCCAAAAAAACCTCAGCTCCTCTCTGGAACCTCTGACCTAGGGAGTTGCCCAGAGCACCGAGATGTTCAATGACTTTCCCAGGATCCCACAGTCGGGATGCATCAGAGAAAAAACTTAAAACCAGGTTTTCACAACTTCCAGGATGGTTCTCTATCTACCACACCACACTGCTTCTTACCAAGCTGAGGAGTTTATAATTTCTCACAAAGGCAATAAGGAATCCCTAAAAGTTCTTGAGCAGGCAAATGATGAGGTCAGAAATAGGCACAGTAGGAGCTTAATAAATGTGACGTTGAATGAATGGATGCTGCAGAATCCGAGGATTTACCTCTAGAAGAGACCATCCATCCAACTACCCATCCATCCTCCATTTCAACCCCTCCTTTTACAAAGGAAACTAAAACACAGAGAAGAGAAGTAACGTGTACCAGGTCATACTGCTCAGCAGCAGAACTCAGAATTTGAATTCAGATTTTCTGACTCCAAATTGAGATCTCTTCCCATTGCACTCTGGTCCCGTCGCAGACGACAGCGCCTCACAGAAGAACAGAATACTTTGTATGAGTGTGTTATTTATCAGGAGAAACGCATTTCATTCCACTAGGAATGCTTTCATCCGGAGGAGCAAACCAAATCAAACTAACTGTCAGAAAAGCTCAGCATACATCCTGCTAGCTCAAGAGGCAGTGGTGAGAGACTGGTGCAGGGGAGCCAAGACCCAGATTCTGGTCCCTTTCTGCCACTAACTCACAGGCTGGTCTTGGCTTAAGAATGTCCCCTCCTGGGGCCATAGTTTCTTCATGTGTAAAAACAGGGCTTTGGACTATATCGGGGTGGGAAATCTGCAGCCTTGAGGTCACATGTGGCCCTCTAGGTCCTCAAGTGTGGCCCTTTGATGGTAAAATTTGGACTCAGTCAAAGGGCTGCACTTGATGACCTAGAGGGCCACCTGTGGCCTCAAGTGGCAGGTTCCCCACCCCTGAGCTGGATTCTCTCCACAGGTCCTTTGGGTGCTAACATTTTATGACTATTTCATGGTCAGCTTCTGCATGACACTGAGATCTCCAAAAGATGCTGTTGAACATTCCTTCTAAAGTACACACTTAGAAGTGATTTCTTGGCTGGCGTCACTATAGCCTAGAGCATCTTTGGTATCAAGAAGCCACTGTGGCACAAAGGAAAACAAAGCCTAAGTCAGAGATATAAATGGGTGTGCATGAGGGAGCCCCTGCAAATCACTTCTCTGCATCAGGGACGGGCAGTCTTGATGGTCTCAAAGGGCTGCTGACATTTTTAAGGGGTTTAGTTCTGCTCTGTAGAGGTCTCAAGGAAGTGGGCAAAATCAGGTTCTCCTCCCAACATCCATGTAGGCTTCATCAGCTCTGCCCTTTCCTGTTTGGCAGATCCAATAGCGCCTGCCAGTCAGAAGGTAGCATGTCTCTTTCTCCTCCTGGATCCGATTTGCCTGAATTGAAAAACTCCTAGATTTGCATACAATGTATCTCCTGCATTTGCTTATGCTGTGGGGTTTTTTTAAAAAAATCATTTATTAAGTGTCTGTGCATTTGATACCTGTGTCATGTAGGCACACATGATAATGTACTTATCTGCACGTACTCCTCCCTCTCTGGAGCTCAATGTACTAGGGAGACACGCACTGAGCAGCAGAGCATCCCTCAAACCTAATGCTCCCTCGACTGAATTTCTTTCTGCTAAATCAGCCTTATTGCTTTCTGGCTCCAACTTCCTTTGGGGTCTATTAAAAGCCCACATTTTACAAAATGGACATTACCATGTACAGAGAACCATGCAAATGATGAATTGAAGATCATCTGTTCATGTCATTTTCTAAGCAGTTTCAACATTTTAAAAATAATAAAAATCTTAATCCAATTGACTTTTCTTTTAAGCCCATCCAAACAAGCCCTTGCTGATGTGCCAGCATGTCAAGTGCCACTCCTTACCTCAATTTGCTGTGGGGCAGAGTTGATTTTTTGTCCAACTTTATCAGTCACGGTTGCTGTTAGGCTGGTCTGCCCAATGGCTGCCCCATGGACAAGAAATGTGGCAGTATAGTCATCAAATGCTTCATCAAGGGCCCTGAAACAGAGGAGATGGAAGAAAGAATAGGGTCCATTAAAACTCTTTGAATTCTCCTTCAGGATACAGCAGGTTGGCTGTGTCATCTATTCCAGGCATCAGCTGGTACCCCTTCTCCCTAGCTGAATCTTGCTGAATCTGCTTGGGTCCCACGCTCAGGAGCCAGGGCTAGAGATGATGCCAGTATCTGACAGCCAAAAGGGTTCCAATGCTTCAGGTGCCCATGAGGGACTTGCCTTGAGTAAAACTTACTCTAGTGTAACAATCTGGGATGCTGCTCGGAGTTTCAAGTCCATGAAGGAGAAATATTTGGCCAGAAAAGGCTTTTTGGAGAAATCCAGTACTCGGACATATGCCTTGACAGTCTTCCCAATCTCCACCTGCAATATTTAATGGCTAATTATTGATGCTTCCCACAGAAGGATTGCAATTTACATAGTGAAGTATTTACCTTGATAAAACCCAGACTTATCTAAATAAACATGGGGTCATTTTTAATATTAGATTTGATAAAGATAGAAAAGTCACATGGCATATATAGTGCACCCTGAACCAACCCACAAATCAGGAAGACCTAGGTTTATTCACCTCCCTTCTCTGACATCCCGGCTTTTGATCCTGGGCAAGTTACTTCGCCTCTTAGTTGCCAAAGTGACTTACACTAGATGGGAAGTTCCTTACCTAGAATTTTCTGTACAAATGAAATCACAGATCGAGCAGTGGAAAAATATGAAGATCAGTGAATGGAAGCTTAGGCTATACAACTAGGCTTCATTAATTAATATATGACAATTTGAATAATTTCTATAGTAATTATAAAAAAAAATCTTTGAAAGACTTAACCACTCTAGTCAATGACATGGCCAGCCAAGACTCAAGAGAACTGATGATGAAGTGTGTTCCCAACTCTAGTAGCATGACAGACTCCAGGTATAGAAGGAAAGATGTATTTTTAGATATGGTAAATGTGTGGATGCGTTTTCTTTTGCTAAGCTTAATTGTTGAAAGGATTATGTTTTTCCCAGGAGACCATTGTACACAGTAACAGCAACATCATGTGATGACCAGCTTTGATAGACTTAGCTCTTCTGAGCAATGCAATGATCTAAGACAATTCCAAAAGACTCACGATAGAAAATGCTACCACATCCAGAGAAAGAACTATGGAGTCTGAATGCAGATCGAAGCATATTATTTTTTTTCTTTTTGTTCTGATTCTTCTTTCATAACATGACTATTGTGGAAATATGTTTAATATTACTACACATGTATAGCCTACATCAGACTGCTTGCCATCTTGGGGAGGGGGGAGGAGAGGGAGGAAGAAAAAAATTTGGAGCTCCAAATCTTATAAAGGAAAATGCTGAAAACTATCTTTGATGTAATTGGTAAAAATTAATTCCACTATTAAGTGGAAGAAAAAAGGATTGTATTTTTCCTTTTTTGACTTGGTGGTGGGGATAAGCTAGTAATAGTAGTGGCAAAAAAGAAAAGAAAGAAAAGAAAGTCAATGAGCATTTAAAAATTCACAGACGAGAACTGAAAGAAGTTCAGAAAGAAACAAAGGTAAGCAGGACACCTTTGAAAGTGACATGTTCAATACATCATATTTTTAAAGTTACATATAATAGGTTCAAAATTTCGTGTACAATTATTTTTTTCATTCTAGTTCATGTATGGAAATATTCATTTTTAAGTGTCTGTTAAGTTCAAAATTTACAAAAATTAAGTTAAAATAAAAGAATATATCAGTTTGGAATTTGTAAGAATTCTCCCAAACTGCTCTGCCACCATTTAGTGGCCTGCAGGCCCAACAGGAATCAAGAGTCTGAGAGGCAGATTAAAAGCTAAGGTTGCCTCAAAAGGAGCAGAGTGTTCAGAACCAGAAAATGTTCAACTTTCCTCTGCCCTGACCAAACAACAGTTGGGGGATGCATTCAGTTAATTCTAGGTTTTACATTTTGGGAGGGATATAGATAAGCTAAGATGAATTCTGGAGAAAGTATCCAGGATGGTGCAGTAATTCAAAATGATATTATGGGAAGATGAACAGAAGGAACTGGAAACGTTTAGACTGGAAAAGAGAAGACTTGGGAGTAGAGGGTGGGAGGCTGGCTCAATGATTTAAAAATAATCTGAAGGGAAAAA